GGAATATGTTACCATTACTCAACATTGTAAAAAAAAAGGAACACGCATTACTGTCTTTTAAAAAAGTAACGCATGACTCGTTACTTAAAAAATTATATATTATATATACAAAAAAAAATTTCTTTATATATATAAAATAAATACAATTATGCAAAATAAAGTAATACAAAAATTATATTATAATATGATATTTTTTATAATAATTTTTAACAATTGATTTTAAAAATTTTGATTAGATAAACATGAGCGCTTAGTGCTCAACACAGCTTTCGCCATGCTAAACACATTTTCAACTGGCGCTGAGGTTGGGAGGGTTGTATTTTAATAAATACAAATTTTAATTAGGGGGATTTATTAAAAATTAAATAATAATTTTTATTTTGATTAATTCATCTTCAAAAGAATCTTCATTCACGCTTTATTGAAATAAAATAAAATATTAAATATAAAGGTAAAGGTAAACAATATTTCAACTGTATACCTTTTATCTTTGTCTTGCAGGATCGAATTAATAAGTGGCTTCAAAGTGAAATTAAACCCATTTTTTTAAAATATTATAATAGTTATCGTGGAAGTGAGATTTCCCATTTATTCTTCTCTCTCTAAAATCGAAAGAGCCTTGGGAATAGGTTCCATAGCCTATAAAATATATATAGCCATACAATATTCATCGCAACTTTTCATTATCTGGAAATTTCTGTAATTTAAATTTATCACAGGATTCTTCAAATTTGTGGCCATCTCCTTAAGGCTATTTACTAATTTCACGGTTATAGAAAGAGTTCCATTTTTTTATAACCAGTTTAATCAGGTATCTTTCCTTTTTTTCCTTAAAAATGGCTTCACACACAGTTTGGAGGATGCCCATGTTTATTCCACAATTGAGGTTAAAATATTTGAGTTGGGACACATGTAAACTTTGTATGATTCAATATTAATTACAACAATCTTGACTATATAAAAATGAAGAAATTTGGTGGTTGATGTGAATTAAAAACTCGGCTTAAATTATTTTTGAAATTTAAAAATAAATTAAAGTAATTTTATAATATAATAAATAATGTTTTTTCCATATTTTTTTGAAGTAATGTTTTACATTACCATTATTCAAGAAAAAAGAAACTCATTACCTCTAGAAGGAGGTAACAAATGGCGTTAAAGAATTACAACACAAGATATTACTATATTTTATAAATTTAATTTGGTTTTTGAAATCGTCTAGGAAGTATTCTATATATAATGATTAGTTTTCCTTTAGAATAAATATATTACACCTTTGTCTTCGTTTAATACATTAACCTGGGTATTTTAAATTGCATCTAAATTGAGTTATTTAATAAAATTTAGATACGACTATTAGATTTTAATCGGGAATTAAATTGTTAGAACCTGCCGTACACTTTTATTCCATAGGCTTCATAGAGTTTAAAAAATGGGAAGTGGGAACAAATTTAATTCAGGTGCTGAGAAGCGAAAAATTGAATTGATTATTCTCAAAAAGGGGCTCTATAAAACACTTTAAAAAAGGTACATCATGCGGCCACATCTGAATGCGAGAAATAATCGATAATGAGCAAAATTGATATGATTGATTTTTTTAACTTATTACTTGATCACGTGAAGTTTTCTTTGGAAAAACCTTTTTAAGGATCATTTTGGGGTTTTATTCGATACCTGCATTTGGAAATGCAACTGAAATTGAGCTAAAGCAATTTTGTAAAAATTAAATATTTTATTAACAGATCAAGAATCTTTGGAAAACGAGATTAATATATTAAATCTATTAACAGAGTTAAAAGTTTTAATAAATATTGTATAAGTAGATCACAAAACGTCCTTTAGAAATCTTATGCTATATTTACACAAATAGGCTAAATGAAGCCCTGCCAAATATATCCATTGTTTTTAGGATTCTAACTTCCAACTCGCACCGGCTGAACACAACTTCTCAAAGTTCAAACTAATTAAGACTTACTTAAGATAGTGTATGGCACAAGAATGTCTCGTTTTATCCCTAATTTCAATCGAAAAGCACTACAATATATTCTCCCATATGCACATTGGTCCCTGTAATTTTAGAAAATGGGACTTAAGATTGGTATAATACATTTTACTCATTTGTCCATCCATCATTAATAAGGGTCAAATTTTTATCTTATCTTTCGGTTACTATATTTTTAATTCCATATTCACTGTTTAACAATTTTTTACTGAATAAATTTCCTGAGAACATCTTAAATGCTGTTTTTAAAGATTGAACTACTTTCTTCCAAATACACGTTGCATTATGGAAGATGGACTAAATGAAATATATTTCAGTCATAAAAAAATTTAAATGAACATACAAAAACAAAACATAATTATAATATATGAATCGAGAAGAAAAAAATATGTTAAAATTCTGATTTGATCAAAAAACATATTAAAAATGGAAAATTTCATAGTCACTAAATTTTAAGAAATCTGGGCCAGAAAAATTATCAAGAATTAATATCAGTCTATCCAATTTCTTTTTTAAATAGGCCTGAAAATAAAAAAAATAAAATCCCGGGGGCCTGAAGTTTCGGCCTCTACTATAATTTATAATTTTCTAAATTTTCCTTCAAATAAAATGAGGCTGAATTAATGTTTTAACTCCCATCATGTCTTTTTTATTATGTGTTTCTTTTACGGAACATGAAAGAAAACTTGTAAATACTCGAGAAATGAACAAAAAAATTTTTTGTGGGTTCTAAATTATGGTAGCGATAAGTTTTTATTTTATCGGAACTAATATTTTAATTTATTTTAAAAATATATTTAGAAACGGTGAATTTGCCATAGGATAGAATCCAGAATTGTGAATCCTTTAACAAGTTTAAATTTCTGTTACTTTATTTTTGTAAAAAGCATCTAAATTACATATTGTACTTGCTTTTAATTATTTTTTAGTTCAAGCCTCATATCTTCAAGTTTAAAATGTTTTTCCTTTTTGCAAATGAGGTTATTTTTACAGCACAATTCCTCCAAAGTCTTTTTTTCTAATACATTTGACACCTTTAACCCTTTTTATATCGTGTTTTTTACAAAATATAGCCTTAGAATATTTATTTGCTTACAAAAACTTTAACTTGACAATAAATTACAGAAATAGGTGTGCGCAAATTTTTGTATATAAATATATTCCTAAGATTATAAATAAAATATATATTTTCAAATTTAATAATTTTACTGTTTTTTGAATTTAGAATAATATGTTAAATTTATATTTATTAAATTATAAAATAAAACATTTATAGCGTCTAAATAATTAAGAATTAAAAAAAGTGGCAGAGGTGTTATACCATGACTATCAAAAGCTTTAATTTTGTGATACACTATTTGCAACTGTTATTTTCATAAAACAATCCGAATCTGTCTTGCGATGGACATGGACCCACTTCAATCATCATGCAAGGTCAGAAATCTCTCCAATACCCACATTTTCTCACTCAACAAGTTTTTTACCTTTCAACCCGTTTAACATCCATCTAATCATTTTATTTTCTGTTCGTTCTATTTTAGCTATGTTGGATAAATTTATGGGCTCATGTTTACACCGTATATTATGGCCAGGCAAATACCTGAATAGAAAATTCGTTCTTTAACTTTAGGGCACATGTTTATGGGATATGCTGCGGAAGGGGTGTGTCATTCCATTACAAATAGACAAGGATCCATTTTCGTAGAAATCTTAAAAGTCAAATGGCATATTGCATAATTGTTAAGTATGTTGTGAGGAATAGTGCAATTATCTTTTAAAAAATATTTTGTTTTGTAAAAATGGTGTCTTATAATATGATAAAACGCATAAAACTAAAGATGACTTATAAAATTTAAACGATATTGGCCTATATTTAGTATAATTAGACCGTTATTTTTTTTAAATATCGGTAAAGCGTTTAAATTTTTTAATGTTCAATGGTATGGGCCTGATCATATATCTGTTTTTAATGAAAAAAATTCAAGCCAAAAGTTTAATTTATAAAAAATTCATTATTTTCCTTTTCTTGTATCTCTAAAACAATTATACTGTTTCACTCCTTACTGGGGAAAAACATGTTGCAGCATAATGCATGAAAATATACAATTGACTTCTCAAAATTCCTATGAACATTATAGAAGAACAGATCTTAAAATTCAAAATTTTCCCATATTTCTTATTCGATAAACCTTTTTGAGATAGGCCCCCTAAATAGCAATTTGTTAAAATTGGAAAACTTTTTTATACACTCGAATATCTCTAAAATAATGTTGATAACGATATTGATAGATGTTAGGGAAAGTAATAATTATATTTCAATTGAGTATTTTTTTTTTTAAATTAGTAAAAAGGGTAAAATCTTAAATAAATTTAGGAATGTTTAAGGAATCTCCCTAATTTTAACGATAATTTTAAAAAAAAAACTCAATTGATGTTAATATCACCCCCTTGCCATCTATCAATGTTATTCTAAAGATTATCAAAGATATAGAAACATTCACACTTAGCAATTTTTGTCTAAACAGGAATCCCATTTATAATATTTCGCTCTTAATAACAAAAAATATTATTCATCGACTCTCTACGAGTCTTTATTCTGAAACTAAGTTCTTGTAAATGTTGGGCTATTAATTTGCCAACATTTTAGATCATAAAATTAGTTTCGCGCTTTTCTGAATAATGAGAAATAATAAAAAATTTGCATTTATTGAATGGTGTCTTATTGTACATTAGAGATAACGTAAGATTAAATGTTATATATTAAAAAATTGATTATTTAAAAAAAATGCATAGTTTAGAATCTAAAAAATCACCGAAAATTGCCAATATCTATTAATATATGTCGCGATAAAGATTAAACAAAATATTATAAATTAGGATAATGTAATAAAGATATCTATCAAAAATATGGAACAATATAATTTTCAATGAAAATTCTATTAAAAATAACTTTTTTCAACCGAAGAATTGTATTAAATACTAGTCGGATATAATTTGTAAATTATTAATATAACAAAATTATCGATAAGTTTAAAAATCTCTTCTATAGAAAGAAATAAATTTATGATCTAAAATGAGTTTTTATAATGAGCATGGATATATTTTTTTTCAAGATACTAATCGAATCCATAAATTATAAGTGTATATTTTTTTTTAAATAATGGACCATTATATTAATCATTAGTAGGACTTTTTTTTAAAAAAAAAGATATCCTAAAAATATTTAAAAAAATTTATTTAATCAATAACTCTCGGCTATGATTAAAGTGACTAGGGCGGACCAACCCGTGAATGGGTGAGCACCTTTACCATTCCCTGTTTGGTCATCATATCTTTCCCAAATATAACCTGTTCGTTTGTATTGAGTTAATATGTTGGTGACAAGATTAAATCTAAGCTTATTGTAAAGGTTTGCTGCCAAAATCCTATTAGTTTCAGATAGTTTGGGATCAACGCCTAATATATGAAAGAATGAAATATATAGCAACAAAAAAATTTAAAAAAAATGAATATTAAAAAAATTATGATAGAAATACTTCCATTTTCTTCTGTCAGGGAATAATGCTTGAGAGCTGAGAGTATCAAGTAATTCAAGTTGATCCAAATGTCGCCTCTCCAATAAGGTGGATCATTTTGCGTGTTAGGCACTTTGTAATAAACCTTAGAGGAAGCCGATAGTGAGCGAATACCTTTTGCGATAAAAAAGAGTGTACATATTAACTGTCATAAAGGAGGACCGCAATAAATTTAAAAAAAATAATGGTAAGAACATACATAACATCAAGGATACGAGCAATAATATGACTAAATATTTTAAAAATAATTTATCAACCAAATATTTGCAGATTTCGAAGAAGTACGTTTTTTTTTATCTAACAATAGATGTTCATAATGAAATATAATTTCTATTGTATTTTTATATTTTCCTCAAATAATAAAATATCTTCTCCTTTAAAAAGAAATATTTCATTCTTTCATAGTTAAAAAAAATAAAGAAAGAAGTTGTTTTTATAAAATGGTACCGAAATTGGTCCAGAGAAGTTCATGATCGGGTAAATCGTGAGTCAATAACCGGTTTAACTTAGTGGATGTCGGATTTAAAAGTTTGAAGATAAAAGGAAATAGAGAAACGTAACCAAAAGTTTCTTTGCCGGCGAATCGAAGGCTGAGGGGAGGTGCGCCGATCGGGATAATTCTCTATTTTTCAATAAACATTTATAATGTAAAATAAAACAAGAGGACATGATATAAAGTAAAATAAAACAAGAGGACAAAAAATAAAAGAGAATGAACTATCATGACCATATTTGAACTAAAAATTTCCAGTAAAGATATAATGTGCAAGATAAATTGATGAAATTATTTTACATAGCCCCTTATCAAGGAAGATATAAAAATAAACAAAATGTCGCAACCTGTTCCCTAACCACATGACCGTCTATGACAACTTTTTCAAGCCTCACTATTGGCGCGTGAATTCCATAATCCGAAAACATTTGTTCCCTTTCATTCCAATGTAGTCTCACTAGTTCCTCTTCTGAACTCAGATAGGAAGCAGCTTTAGCAACACGGATGATATCCTTATTGTACCTAGCAAGCAATGTAGTTATTGAGGGGGATAGAGGATGATTGGCTGGTATTCGATATATATTATTTTAAATTGAACAGTTTCAAAGTTAATTATTATACCTTTTTAAATTAGTGCCTTCCCTTTTAAAGTAGATAAAATAAGTGATTTAAAATAAAGATGTTTGTTAAGAAATATGCCACTAGACTAGATGACGACTATTAATGAAAAAATAAAAACTCAGAAAAAACAATTGCACACAAGTTACGGATTTTTAGTGTGGGCAGAGTAAATTTTATGATGAAACGAACCTCCAAGGAAATCAAAATAAGTTTGAAAAGAAAACAATTTTTATCGCGTCTAATATTTATCATATAAAATTTTATCATTAAGTTATTACCAGTATAGATTTATATAAAAACTTCAAATTTTTTTTTAAAGCTGATAATAAATTCCTAAAAATATACAATAGCTACATATGCAAAGAGAACATCCAGTAGAGTTAAGAAGGAATGAAATAAACTAGGTGAGAATAAAAGTACAGCCAAATTCATTAAGTGATGAAACGATACTCTTCTAATGATGGGAAAAAAATAAACAGATTCTTACAAAGTTTTATCTCTTTCAAGAGCTCAGCTATACTGCCTAACACTTTAGCCCCGAAAGTCATCCAACACCTGAGGTCTAAATGCCTCTCTTGCGCCGATGGGTGTGAGGTCCTGGGATAGTCATCGAGTCCCGATGTCAAAGTTCGTGGATTAAGTTCCAACTTAGTCCAGGGATCTCGACCGCGCCAACGAAAAGTGCCCCTGGAAAGACCTGTCTGGGTGCCATTAAACCAGTCGTACCTAGTGTTATGAAATAAGTTTGTTTATGGTAAAATAGATAAGCATGTGAAGCGGGATAAACAAACTAGTTTAAGGAAAGATCAAAATTATTTTTTAAATGATGTTTGAAGTATGTGATAGGAAATGACGAAAAAAGGATATTTATCGCTTGTTTCTTGATATTTAAGAAGAAAATAACTGCTATCCCTTTGAATAAGTTGCCTAGGTAGACTTATGTATATGTCTGGCTAGGTCTCCAGAATATCGAATCAAATACCGTAATATTCGTATTCGATTCGTAAATTTTGAATATAATAATGTATTATTCGAATTCATAACATGGATAATTCAATTTTATTTTTCAGATATTTTATATTTAGAGTACACAAAAAAAATAAGTCATTGCATAATTTATAATAGTAAGTTAGATATAATTATAATAGAAATAACTAATTATAAAATAAATTTATAAAAAAAGATCATTCTTTCAGGGATAAAGTTTTCCTAATTGTTTCTTATCCTAGAGACAATTGGCTTCTGACAATCATTTTTTGCCTATAAATAGACGCTCACAAGATGTAGAAGAACCCTATTATTATCTCTCCTTCTAAATGCATAATCTTATCATTTATTGTTTAAATTTTAGTTTTAGGAAATTTAAATAAGAAGCTCTTATCACATCACAATCATAAAAAGATTATACTAAAATGACAAAAAATATTTGATTACAAGCAATAAGTTTAATTTATAAAAAAAATTATACGAATATTTGCAAATATTTTTCGAAAAATTCGAATATTTACTAAAATTTAAAAATTTTAAATTTTTTATTCGTCAAAGAGTTTACTCTATTATTTGATTCGAATCGAATAATTTGTTATTCATAGTAAATTTCAAATCGAATAATTTTTGACAGGTCTAGGTATGACCCTAAAATTGCAAATAAATGCATTATTATGTAACGATATGTTAAGTTCGTTTAGTGTAAAAAAGATAGATTCCGATTATTTTTAAATCAAACCCAGATTTGTTTAAACCTTATAAAGGAGTGAAGGTGAGGGCTAATTTAAACGAAAATGGAAAAATAATAAATTATTTTTATACCAAGCCAATGCCCTGGGGAAAATAGCTATCCAAAATTTTGTATCATCAACCTTTCCATCTGTGTCCTTTAGATTTTTGCGAGCCAAAATCAATTTTTCAAGTGCCAAAAAAAGTGTTGGAGGATTAGCATTTCCATCCCTTTGATGAATAATATAAAATGTATGATTTAGACATAATATAACTTTACCTCAAATTTTTATGGTCATGTTTCTCCTTTCATAAATTAATTTTTCCTTTCCCTTTTTTAAAACTTATTCCTTAGACTGTTCTTTACCTTTGTACAACAAATTCTCGAGGAACAACCGATCTGGCTTCGGGCCCGAGAAGTTGTTCTCTAGGTATCCATCCGTATTTGTTAAGGAGATCGAACCACGTAGCCAAGCAATCGCGGACGATCACATGATCCCATTTGCTGAGAATCGATTGGTGAAAACCCTCGTCCCATAAAAATCCACGGGGAAAGAAGGAACGGGATGGGACGGCAGTGAAAAGTTGGGAAGGGAAGTAGGAGTAGATTGGTTCTAAATTTTGTGTCAAAGAAGAAAAAATTTAAAAAATGGGAATAAAATAAATTAAAAAACTATGGAAAGTATGAAAAAGGAAGGAATATAAGGAATAAATGAAAAAGGGAAGAAAAAGATAAAATAATGAAAAGAAAATACAAAATGTTAAATAAAAACCATCTTTTTTATTTCTTTGAGTTATTTCATCGTCACTTGAAGTAGTCGGGGTAAAACTGACTAATGAAGTTCCATAAAAATATCCGATTCCCCCAATAAGATTGCTAAAAGCGGCTCTAGAAATTGATTGATCCTCTGGAGAGCTGAAAGTTGATTGGTTACCTAGATAGATAATAAAAATACAAAATGGCAATTGAATTAATTTAAAAAATGAGAAAAAAATAATGGATAGATTATGGAAAAGAATTATTAAAAAAAAGGTAAGAGAAAGATGAAAAATAAGAGAGTAAAAAAAGGAAATAAATAGAAATGAAGTAAAAATAGAAATGCAAATTATAAAATATCGGATTAGCTGAATGTCTAAATGGAAAGCTAAAAATAAGAAGTGAAAAACTAAAAATAAAGATAGAAATAATAAATGTAGAGATGGAAGGAAATAGTTCAAAAAAAGATTTAAAAAAGAAAACCAGCTTTAGGACCGTAAATTTTTGAGAATTTTGTTTCAAATTTTCGTTTAAATTCCACAAATAATTTGTCGTGTTTTGCCTGCAAGATTTCCTTTTCTTTTTCCTTCGCGGAAACTTGTGTTTTATCAGAATCTCTTTTATATATATTATTTTAAATTATACAATTAAAATAAGGTAAATATTCAATCATTTGTCAATTTTTTAATATTCTTTACAGAAATAAATGAATAATTTTTTTTTAGTTTACAAGATTCTAAATGTCATTTCCATTTTTACGGGTAATTGGCTAGCGATTAGCTGATAAGCGACAAAATCAAAATTTCTGCCATTTTCGTTTTCTAGGTTTCCGCCATCTTCGATGTTATGAGGTAATCCAACTATATTTCCGCGTGAGGAACGCATTACTTGCAAATGATCGTAAACATGCGATGTTAAAGTGTCAGCGGAACCGACACGAGAACCATATAGTGCGACGTGATTATCATCATTTTCTGTCTTGTGTTTCCTTAATAAAGTTTGTATATCAAAATATTTTTTAAAATATATATTGTAAGATTCTTTTTCTAAAAAAATGTTTTAAGGTTAGTTAATTTTATTTAAAAAAAACTTATATTTATATAAATTTCAAGAAAAAATAAAAAAATAAACATGGAAATTTTAAAATGTTTTCCGATCGTATAATCATATCCAGTAATGACGTGGTGGGGTTCAACGGAATTTGAGATATGCAAAAACGTAGAATTCGTTAGAGATGATTGATTTGATGGGGATGGTTCACGGAAAATATATGCTATAAGAGAAATGGATCGATTAAAGGAAGTCCCGGGCTAAAATAAATAAATGAATATTAATAAAAACAGAAATAATATCGTATATTTAATTTTAACTCAATATTTATTTTAGATCGAATTAGAAAACTGAAACTCAAAACTAGGGAAAATTGCTCCTGTAAGGTGTTATTTTTTAAAATTTAACCTACAAATATATTTTTCAAACATACAATGTTAAACTTAGACTTTCAAATATTTCATCGTTTCAAATAAAAAAGAATTTTTGAACTTCATTATAAAAAGAAAAATTAAAAGAACGTAGAAGAAATGATAAATAATTTATGAATAAAAGACTGAATCATTCAAATGAAAAAGGCAAAATTCGTATGGAATAATTTTAACAAAGTCAGGGCAAAAAGTAAATATAACAGGTGCTTAGCCAACGAGACCCCCCTCCCCTGTCGTTGCTAAATTTTTTGAAAAATTATAAATGGATTCATGAATTGTGAAATGTAAGGTATTTTATTTCAAATAGGTTATATCTATTTTAAATTTTAGCAAAAAGTTAAATTATTTTATATTTCTTCCTTGTGTATTAATATTTTTTTTCCACGAAAATTTGAAGCATAAATACTGATGGATATAAAAAAAAATTTATCAACCAAAAACCTTATATATATAACCCAAACCTAATAATAGTCACAATTATAATAACTGATTATTCATTTTCACAATCTGACGCACAATGATTGCAAATAAAACTATTTAACAAAATGAAAGATCTAAAAAAAATAGATAATGAAGAAATAAGGTATTCAGGAGGTTCAGAATAGAATTATTTTCAAGTCTTCTTGTGCTAAGAAGTAGAAAACTGCACGACATGATGAAACCTTTGACATTAAGCTGTTACCATTTTTGGATCTATGATTTTATTTTGATTGCCCTTGGAGAAATATCAGAATGGCCTAAACCGATATCTCACCTGAAGTTGTTACATTATTAGATTCGATAGGACAGCTGATTTTTTTTCACATTGGGATGTATTAATAAATTATTTAATTAAACAACAATTTTATGCAATATTTTTCAAAAAAATGGAATGGATTTAGATGTTGTTACACTAAAATTGTTATATTAGAACTTAGAAAATAAGAGATAATATTGACCAATAATTTCGAGATTTATGTAAATGTTGAGCGAAAGCAAGATTATGATTTTGAGATTCAATCGTTTCAACATTAACGTGGACTCAATGGATCTAGATACAGATACAGACACATTTTCTAAAAATGGATCTAGATACAGAGACATCGTCTAAAAACGTATCCAGTTATAATTTAATTATACTTATATACAGGGTTCGCCGTTGTTCTCGAACAAAAACTGTTAATATGAGAGCATAAAATAAGTAAACAATATTTTTATATAAATTGCTTTTACATCATAAACTTATAATTTATTCATTAAAAGTTAGCGGAATATCTATAAAATTATTTTTTAAAATTTTAAATAAATTTATTTGCATAAATAAATTTTGTGCATCAATGGTATTGTTTTTAATAATTAATGGGCGTCAACAAGGATTTATATATTTCTTTACATGATAAAAATATCCTACATAATCTTGAGCTGATATCTATAGATATAAATTGAAGAAAACTCATATTTAATGAAAATTTATATATTTTTTTTAATATTAATAGATCCATATATCTCTCCCAAAATCCTACATTAGCCTCATCGATGGCCAATGGAGGTCTAAAAGTTACCTGTGATCTGGGCATATAATAAGATAACCGTCTCCTCGACCAGGTGTAAAAACCACTTAAAGGGGTTGATGTCAGGAAGGGCATTCGATTGTAAAAACCAAAAACCTTGCTACAAAATTTCCTAATGATTACAACAAAGCGTGGGTGGGGTATAGCCCAAAGTTCCCTATGGGCCTCCTCATCTGCCTATGACAAAAAGAAGGATGGGAAACCTGGTGGAACCATGATTCGTGAAAATACTTATGAGGGTCATAAACGAACTGATAATAAGTGGAGAAACCAGTTTACAGGGGATGGAGTAAGGGTCGCAACATGGAATGTTAGGAGTATGACGGGAAGAGCGGGAGAAGTGGTCAATATATTACAAAAAAAGCATATAGATGTGTGTTGCATACAAGAAATCAGATGGAGGTAATGGCGCAAGAACGATTGGCAAGACAAGTGAAAAGTATAAATTCTTCTAGCAAGGAAGTAATGACGGTAAGGCTGATGTTGGTTGGCGGAAAAATTGGTGGACAAAGTAGTAAAAATTTAGCAATATTATTCATTAGTACAAGTGTAAATGTGAAGACCTTTTCTCCATTATGGAGAATAAAAAATCTCTGATAGCTTTCCTTGATATAGGTTTAATTACAAAACAAATTATTGAAAAATTAGTGCAATTGCAAAAAAAAACTAAATTTCCATTTATGAACGATATTTATTCTATATTTTTTTGTGATTTACATACCAAATTATATGGCTATAATATTTAATATTATATTTGCTCTCTATTTTGTATTTTTAAAAATTTTATCATTTGAGTTCAAAGTTGTCATTTTATAAATATGATTGATTTTAATAAATTTTTAATATTCCAAAAAAAAATTTTAATATTAAAAATATATCTCCCCCCCCCCCCCCCCCCCCTGTAAAAAATTCCTGGGTGTATCCTGAAATGTAAAGTTACTTAAATAAATAGAAAAGGAATGAAAATATAAAATAAAATCAAATAATTTGTTTTAAATTTATCTATTTTAAAAAATTTGAGAATACTGTCAAAATTAAGGAACTAATGAGATTTCAATATATATTATTAACCAGATTTTGTATTTTGATCTTGACAGTCCAATCTCCACCATATTTGTTAGGATGTTTGACAAAGCTACTTATTATTCCATATTCATTGTCTATGATTTCATGTTCTCCAAAATTTCTGCCATCATGTGACAACCAGCCATATCTTATAGGGGTTTTCAGATAAAAAATAAAATGAAATTCATATCATGAGTATATATATTTAGTTAAAATTTGGATAAAATATTTGATATCAAACCTTACTAATTTATCATCTTGATTACACCAATGTCTTATAGGCATAATTTTACCATTAGACAAATGAGTGTACCACATGATACCAAAAAGAAGTGAAGATGGAGATCTAGACTTCAAACCAAAATATACATTTGGGCGATAAGAGCCCCAAAATAATTCTGGTGAATCCAATGGCTTAAATGACTCAGTAACCTTTGGTAAAGCAATAGGCGTTGTCAAAGTAAAACTATATATATAAGATAATATATATCAAATTAGTTAAGGTATACATTTGATATTTAAAATATGAATAATACAGGGCATAACAACCAAGAGTAGCCAACAAAATCAGGTAAGATATAATTTTAAAGCTATATGGGCTGCTAGACTTCTTTTTATTTCTATGTTTAGGTTTGAAGTCATCATTATAAGAATTCTTGCTTTGCTTACGATTTCTAAGCATACTTTTTAAACTTTAAAAAACGTGTAAAATGAAATCAGCTGGATTAAAAATTCTGACCGCGCAATAATAAGAGCAACATATTATTTATGGGCAACAATATGTTTTAAAAAAAAAGTTCTACTATATATATATGTGCAATTTTTATCCATATTTTGAAGCTAGGTATAATTGGCTTAATTGGTCTTATATACTTTTATATTAGAAATTTTACTTTTATACGAGTATGGTCTTTATTATAAATTGCCTATCAAATTTTATTTTACAATAAAATTATTTATCATATTAATATAAAAGCATGGTAATAATTTCCAAACAAGTGTAAGGAATTTATTTAGAAGAAGTAAGTATGCATATAGTTGATATTCCTCTATTATATAGAATTAGTTACAAAATACTAGGTAAAATTTCACTTTACAGACATATTTGACAGTTAGAGAATATATTACAAGTTAATACTTTAACAAATTTTACTAATCAATGCTCTTGATAATAAATATAAAAACAATTTGCATACAATTATTTAACGCCATCTATTTATTATAAATAAAATATTATAAATTAATCTTCATATTATTTATCTCACAATGTCTTTAAAAAATATTTTCTGATGTCCTTAACAATATTTTATATTCTGTAAAATATGTAATTCGCTATATTGGTAAAAATTAAATGATTGTCATATTATAATTGATAAAATTAGATATACTGTAAATCTACGACATATAATATTCCACTGTATTGTAGTTTAATTTTTTATTAATTTATGATTTAATTTCATCAATAGTTTTATAATTATATTTTACTTTTATTAAGATAAATAAATTAAAATTACTCACTTTATAAAAAATTATATTTGAAATCTATATTATAATTTTCCGATGTCCTCACTACGTCATCGTGACGTCATGTCATCGGTACGTATTTATTTTTATTTGTTGATTTTATTTATTTATTTTATACAAACAGATGAATGGAATTTTGAGAATTAATGGTGTACACATACCTAACATGGATTGAGAGATTTGAAATCGTCTTTGAATTGATAAAAACAATATTCCCTCAACTTTGTAAATATGAATGAAACTATTTATTCCACTTAATCCTTTCTTTATTTTTTAGATTACCTTATCAATTTTCAGCTCATATTATCAATTACACGTTAATGAAATCTCTACAAGATACTCAACTTGTATATTTATTTTGAACATACTCGCAATTTTTGTCAGTACTTACATTACAATTTTTTATACTCACATTTTTTTTCATAACCAATAATTAAGAAGATAACCAAGTATATTCAAATATTTAAATATTCTTCTCCTAACCTATTTATAATCTCCAATCCTTATAAATAACTCTCTCTTTATTTTTTTCCCCTCCCTTAATGAATTTATTTATCACTAAATTTTATTATCTCATTCTTTTCTTTCTATCTCTATTATCTATTAACCACTATTTCTCAAAACCTTATCAATTCCTTTAATTTAATTTTTATAATATAATAATTTATACCTTCTTTCCCCCCCCCCTTTTAATCTAATTACCTAACAATTAATTAACCTTAATCTTAATAACATTACATTCATCATGTTATTTTTTTAACTTTTAGAATATCATAATAGGCTTGATAAGTCCCCCAAAAATTTTTTTTGGTGATAGCCACATCTTATCATCCTTTAATTTAATTTTTATTATTTTTATAATATAATAATTTATACCTTCTTTTTTCCCCTCTTTTTTAATCTTATTTTTTAATTACCTTACAATTAATTAACCTTAATCTTAAAAACATTACATTCATTATGTTATTTTTTAACTTTTAGAATATCATAATAGGCTTGATAAGTCCCCCCAAAATTTTTTTTGATGATAGCCCTTCAACTACTAGAAATATGCATCTAATATTGACCCATCTACTGGTTTTACATTATTTTAATGTTTGTTTAATTTCAACAATAGTTTATTTATATTTTTGCCTGATTTCTTTGTTTGTCTAGGCTATCCCTAATTCCTCACATTGCTACAAAACATGATGAATCTATTATTAAAGATAAGCAAAGAAAATAATGACGTTTAAACAAACGTCTTTCTCGTTATAGAGTCACTGGTAGACAAAATAATAAAGAACTACTCTTGAAATGAACTCATCTGGAGGTTTATTTTGTTTTTTTTATCTTATGTTTTATATCTATATTTATTTTATTTTCACCCAGTTCTCCAAATTAAACTATCACCACTACCACAATCCCTATGCCTCCGCTTATTTTTTAACAAATATAAACATTTAATTCTGTACTAACATTCACTTCACTAGGAGTTAATATAAATATTACTTTATCCGATTCTCTGAGAAACTTTCATGAATATTTAGAGGAATGTTCAAACTTGAATGTACACTACGGCCAATTTCATCAACTTTATTAATGGAAAAATATGCAGTAGTTCTGTCGTGGCCTTTAAAACAATACTTACGACCGTTTTATGGTTGAGTTAACATTGTCGTTCATGATTCTACTTTAGAAGGGGATACCAATGCTGACATTGACAGAAATATCGTTTTGCGTGTTCAAACTTGAATGTACAGTACGGCCAATTTCATCAACTTTATTAATGGAAATATATGCAGTAGTTCTGTCGTGGCCTTTATAACAATACTTCGACCGTTTTATGGTTGAGTTAACATTGTCGTTCATGATTCTATTTTAGAGGAGGATACCAATGCTGACATTGACAGAAATATCGTTTTGCGTTCTTCTTTTACCAGTATCCCAAGGCATAGGCATATCATCTTTATCAGGACATTATGTGTTTTGTACACTGCTTTGTTAATCCGTCATCACTTTCATCTACAACCCTAAATGATATAAAATTATACATTAATTATTTCCTCTCCAGACGATCGTCCAGATTTATTTTGTCGCTTTTTCCATCAAAAATTAAAATGTTAACAAGGATTTGCTCTTAATTTTATCAAATACATAATAAATAATCTTCATTATTTTTTAAAAAGATTATCCTAAATTTATATGTCAATAAAAAAAAATATCTTAAAAAATATATAAATAATTTGCATATAAGTTTCATTAGTGTGGCATTTTTGTAATTTAAATAGACAGCATTTTTTTCTTACTTAACATAAAAAAATAATCCCTTATCAAATTCTTTGACAAATAATTTCAGAAATGTAAGACATACATTAAATTTATCTGAAAAACAACAATAACCCTATATAATAAACAACATATATTTTAGTTATAATTTTAATTGATCATATTACAAAAAGGTATAAGAGTCGGTTATTTTTATTTTATTTGTCATGATTCTCTAATAAGTGGTTTCCCAGGCCTTCCCAGTTTCCCTTAATACGGAATTTACATGTTTTTTTTCCATATTAGACTAATTGGTAAATCAGATATTTCCCGTTCATGTGATGATATTTAAAATTTAACTATCTCCGAGGCGGGAAAAAATTTTCAAAATTATAATGGGTAGAACTGGGCTTGGAACCTCAAAATTAATATTAGCTTGCACCTGACTTGGGAACATCTTTTACAAATTATTAAGGGTTGAGCTGGGCTTGATAAACATTTTTAAAACTATAAGATCTTGGATGCTTCCTAATATTGTGAACTTGAACCTGGCATGACACCTTTTGTAAAAAATGAATAAAAATCTCATTCCCCGTCATTTTTGACGGGCTTTCTATTAGTATTATATTATTTAGTAATTTTATGGATCTATTATTAATAATTATAATACATTCCACTTTTGTTTTAAGACTTATTTTATATTCCATTTCTTAAAAAGCATTTTTGGTTCACTTTTTTTATATTTAAATGCTTTTATCCAAAAATGTTTAAATTATGATGAATATTTTTATAAATAAATATTAACTTTTACATTCTTTCTTTCAAATTATTGTTTACGTTATATGCATACATTTTTGGGGGTCAGGGAGTTGGGGGAGGACTAAGGGGGATATTTTTTATTACCTTAAAATGATATTCACAAAAAGTGATAAATTTCTGCCCCCCTGGCTACGCCTATGCGACAGATCATGATTGAATGTACTAAATATTAGTAAAACGAGAATATTATTAATAATAGTATGCAGAACTGATAGATATAATGCAAAATATTTAGTCTTAACTAATTTAATTCCTGCATTTATCAATCATATTATATTATACTATGAAATTAATATAGAATGATCTGTTATTTTCTTATTATTTATTATTCAAATTAATATCCTAAAATAATATTATACATTGCTAAAATTATATGTATAAATCATTATAATATATTTTTTAAATAATAATGAATTATAGAAATAAAATAAAATATGATTCAGTATAAAATAAAAAATAATATAACTGCCCCGGCCACTTATTACCAACAGGAACAAAGATTTCTATTTTGGTTGATATTTATATTACATATAGCCTATTATATAATTTAAGAAATCATATTTCTTAACTTTGTTATTGGTGACTTGGTGATGGGATTTGAAATCGGAAAATGTTGGCTTGCGCGAATGCCAAACAAAAAAAACAGCTTATACTAATATGGTTTATATTAAGCAGCCGCCATTCAAAATAGAAAATAATATTGAAGATTTACAACTTATTAATAATTATATTCCAAATTCCTGCGCCAGGCGTTAGAAAATATTATTATTAGCTGATAAGTTGCCACACATCAATAGGCATAAATAGAGATGCCCCAAAAAAATTAATTTGAAATTTTAGCAAATAAAATCATATTAAATAAAATCATATTAAAGGGAAATAAATCCTGAACTTATATTATTAAGTTTCCTATTAACAATGAAATAAGACTTGATATTTATAATAACACAATATCCGATAGTGTAATCTAGATAAAGAAATAAAACCTAATGACGAAATTAAAAGCGATATAACAGGATTAATAGAGCAAAATTAAAAACGAAGTATTGAAAATATTTAAAAACATATAGTTTAATTTTTAAAAGTGGGGGCAAAGAAATATATAAATATTATATTAAAATTTAGTAGGGCGTTGCTCTAGCCCGGTCTTCGAAAATTATCCTTCCGTATACAACATGTAGGAAATTGAATATTTTCTTTTCGATAATTCTTCACCATTCCACATTTTGGCAGTGCAGAAGACTCATATTTATGTCATGTGGCCAATATATAAAATAATGAGCTGTTATCATCAAATATATATTGAAATATACATGGTAATTATTTGGAGGCAACTGGATAAATATAAAATTAACATATATGGAAATAAAACAATAAATAATAAAAACATACTATGCAGGGTAATCAATGTCAGGCGCAGATTTTTAGTTACTGTGGGCTTATCGTTAAATATTTGCAAAAGATTTAAAAAAGGTGTAATCTAAAATATGGGGGGGGGGATAATTTATTTATTGACCGCAAAAATATACGATATTTTTTTGTATACATGCATCTATAACTAACCTTATTTTGTATTCTCATCGGATTTTCATGGCTACCAGTAGATCTAGAACGGGGAAGGCGTTTGTTGACTCGGGGAAGACGTTTGTTGACTCGCCATAATAGATTCAACATGTTTTGTAGCAATATAAACAGCCAGAACTAACCTAAATTCTTACAAGTTAACTTAGATATAACAAAATGCCTTTTACTCTCAATTATATAACATTGATCATTAACGACGATCCATATTTAACATAACCCATTTATTTAAAATTATCTTTATTCCCAATAAAACAACAACAATCTAATATAATATGTAGAAAAATATAATAAATAAATAATAATTATCCAATTCTTCATTTCCCGAAGGTCCACAGCTGACATTCAAAGATCCACAGCTGACATCTTATCCAATATCTCCCAATCTTCAACTAGGGGTTTTTCCTAACAATGAAACACACCCCGTGATCATCATCTCTTCTTCTTTCCCCAAGGAAAACTTAATTCCCCTGTCAGAAAATAACTGACATTTTATGCATTATATTAAATTTACTTCTTCTTTTTCAACAATTACAACAAGATAATTAAAGAAATAAAACCTTAAATAAAATAATAAACTAAACTTGCAGTTAATATAGGCGCAGGTCCTTATTAAATGTGGTTGTATCATTACATATTAGCAAGAATCTAAAAAAAAGGTGTAATCGTAAATATAACAATATTGAATAACACTATTTTGTCAAGATGGGAGTATTTCTTGCTTATCACGATTTTTAGCTAGTTTAATTTGCTGATTTATGGCTATATTTCTATATCTCTTTGTCTGTTTATGAAAGTATATAATTATTTGCAGAATCCAAAGGAATTTAGTAATATTTAGCTCTGGTCATAATATCATGATAGTTGTCACATTTTGATTTTACGATATTCGTATAGATAAGCATGTAAAATGTTTTTTTACGGGAGGGAGGGTTTTTAGTAGTTTTTCAGCATATATGTTATTTTTATTCTTTAAAAATATTAATTTTTACAAATATTTTTTGTAATGATTAAAAATGGGGGTAGGGGAAATATAGATAAAATTATTTATTAGCCAAAATGATATATATGGAGAAAGAAAATTTGTGGAGGGGGAGATCCTTGTTTATCAATGAATGTATTATGGTCTTGATAAGGTATTTATTTTATTATCGTATTGTGATTTTTGTAACATTATTGAATGTTATATTTTTTAAATTATCACATTAGGCCCTTCTACACTCCCTAAGCCAATGCTGATATTAATCTATCTAAATAGGAAACCTGATCAAAATTAGTAGTAGAAAAGGAAATCCAAATTAGTAAAAAATATATCAAAATTAATGTCATATCCCTCTACCTCCCTTTATATTTATTTAGCATTACAGTTTAATTCTGATGACAATAGAGTCTTCTCAATCCCCTATACACCTCCATTTTCAATTACTATATTGCGTTCCCACCCCTTTCCCTACCCATGGTAGGGGTGCCTGGGTTCATAGAGAAGAATAAATGATAATATTTGCTTATAAGCCAATAAATTACTATTAATTCATGATAAACATTTTTGGTTATCACTCACTAGCAGAACATAATCAAGGTCAACCGTATAAGCCTGATCAACTTAATTGACGAAGGAAGTGCTTTTCCAAAGTTCGCGTATACTTCTATTAAATTGATCATTCTTTTATCGTATTACTTATTATAGCACGTTCTCAATCACCACACACACACTTATTACTGATAAATTCTTTATCTTTAAATGTTTCTTTTTCCCTTTTAAAAAAATATATAGTAATACACTAGAGAAAGAAAAAATTTAAGATAAGACGTTTAAAATACCCCCCCCCCCCTTCACCTCCAATTAAAATGAATCGAATAATTTACTATTTGTATTCATGGCAGAGACCTGCAGATGTACCATTTATAAGGCCAGGCCCGGATCCGGGCCGGGCTTATGGCCGGGCTTATGGCCGGGCTTGCAGGTCTCTGATTCGTAGGATTAATGAAAATTACTTTGTATTCAATATTATTATTTTTTTTTATTGCACATCTAATTTTAAACTGAAAAATTTACTATAATAATTTGATTACGAAGATAAGAAAAAGAATCAATTTCTTAAGGGAATAAATTGATTGCATTTGTGAACAATTCATAGGACACAAATTATGATTATCATTTATCACAGTTTTATATGACAATTCTAAATTTAAAATGAATAAAAATGGAGAATAAATAACAAATAAATTAAATTTTAATTTTCCTCCTAAATTATGAAAATATGAGAATAAAATTGGACAGCTATGTTCGAGATATTCTGAATATAAAATACTTGGATAAAAAGACGCTGGATAAAAGGACACTGGGCTAAACAACGAAAAAGGACATAAAAATACCTAATTGAAATTTAGAAGTAAAATATCGAGATTTTTTAATAAAAAATTATTAATTTCTTATTCACCTAAGTCTTACTCTTATCTATTTTTATTTTATTTACTCAATATGAATATTTTTTCAACAATGGATGCACCTATTTTCGGTTTATTAGTTAGGAGTGAAGGCCTGATATGTGGGCTAGTAGTATATGAGAATTTTTTTAAAAATATTAAATCAAATTTTAATAAAAATCATAATAAGTTAAGATTCCTTTATATGATTTATTTAACTGAACCGATTACAGGAATAGAATATGAACTTAGAAAACTAAGATTTCATTATTATTATAAATTTTTCACTTCAAATATTTCTTTCTTTTTTACTCCAAGATTTAAAAAATTCCTCCCTTTCTATAATTAATTTTTTTATATTAAATTAGGGTATTTTCAGATGTATTTTTTTATAGTCTCTATTTATTTGGTGTCTTCTTATCCTCACATTTTGTTCAGAACCCATTTTTTAAAAATATTTAAAATTACATGTGTAGATTCATCATAATTTTATTTAAAAAAGCACTTTGCAATTTATAATTTATAATTTACCATTTAATTTATTTTAAAAAATAGCAATAAAAAAAATGTTGCTATGAAAAAAATATTGGTATGAAAAAAATATTGGTATGAAAAAAATGCCAATTAATAAAAACCTCCATATAGTAACACTCAAGGATGATTCGACTGAAACGGTCAAATTGATTTAGAGGGCTGCTATATTTTTTGTAGTGTTGCTAAACGGCTCGTTAAGAGCCAATTTTTAAAAACGGCTAACTCAATATTTCATCTAGAATAATATTACGCAAGCCTGAAGATTTTGCTTGTAGAAGGAACAAAGGTTTGGACATCTATTAGCGAAATCTCGCGGCTTAGGCAATATTTTTCTGGCTAAAATATTGAGATAGCCGTTTTTAAAAATACGGCTCAAAACGAGCAGTTTAACAACACTAATTTTTTGAAATATCTATTTAATTTAAAAAAAACTATTCCAAAAATATTTTTATTAATTAATTGAATAAAAAATTATACTTTAAAAAAAAATTTGCCATACACTTATTTACATATAATGACAGTTATCCTATATCGTTTAATTTATAAATAAATATATTTTTATTATAGCAGATTTTATTTTTCAAAATAATATTTTTAAAAAAATTTCATTTAAAAAAAATATGAGACACATTCTATCATTAGTCCTAATATTAATCCTTATGTCAGGTAAAAGAACCAAACCCTGAATATCTTTCGTATAATTTTTTTTAGAAATGCGAAACTCGCATAATTTTTTTTATAAAATTTATTAGAACGAAATATATTGAGCGAATTATTTAAATATTTTTATCAATAATATTTTTAGCTGAAACAATGAAAAAAAATTTCAGCGAAATCATTCTGCAGTCAACTTTTAAGATTATTGAAATTAGAGAGAATTTCATTCTTCTAAATCTTTTTTTAAAGAATTTATAAAGATTCCTCGTTTTGTTATATTTAATAGTTCCAGGTTCAACTAATCATTTTTTTTTAAAAGGGAAGATTTTAGAATAAGTTACAGCAACAAATTAGAAAGAAGTAATTACGGACTATAATAGACCAGGGAATTTATTTCTTAAAAAATATCTAATGATCATTTCTTGTTCCAATTCCTCCTAGATTTAATTTTATGAACCTCGTAACTTGTTATTTATTATAAATATTTTTTCCTTCTTTAAACTTTTGTACATGAAAAAAAATAGAAGTAAGCGTTTACGCTTAAGACATATAAACTATCCTTCAAATAAAGTAATTGGCTTGCATGCAGATCGATTTTAGAAATAAATAAGATTGTGATACTTTTGTTCGGCAGAACCTGACTATTATTCGACCAAGAAAACCACTTGGCCCCCCTGGATTCTAAAATCGATATCGATGGCATGCAGCCTATAACAAATATGGAAAAAATAAAATAAACCGTTAAGTGGTAAACTTTGCTTTTTTCGGGGGACACAACTGCTATAAAAATGAGTTAACCATTTTAAATTGATATTAATTATAAATATTATATATATATTGAACAAAACACTTTGAATTTAAATTAATAAAAGAATATGTATAATCTAAGGATCAATGTAATTTAAATAAAATTTTAACTTCAATTACCACAAAAATATAAGGTTAAATGATATAATGGAGCTTGATAAACAGGAAGCGAGGTAATAAGAGAAGAGTTTCTTTTTAAAAATATTTGTAATAAAAGTCAGCATATGAAAATAAGTTTTTTAATGATATCTTGAGAATTTGTAATATTTATGGTGGAATCTTTTTTTTAAATGATCACTCAAATATCAGGATTAAATGTTGGTTACAGGAAGATAGATAATTGGCTGAATGCTGCCAAAATTATAATGACATACTCCAAATATTTAAGCAATTTAAAATTAAATAAATATGAGAAAAGAAACATGAAAAACAAAAAAAAGTTTAAATAAAAAATAACCGATTATAAAATTTTTGGGATTACTACCAAATGCCAATCATTAAAAAGTAAATGAAAAATTTATATTTTTAAAAAAAATCTTGTATACAAACATATATATATATATATATATATATATAGAAACGCATACAGACGAATGGGGGACATTTATTGACAAGTTGAGTAACACTGATCACGGAGTAAGTGGCAACCTGTATGTGGCAGATGAAAATACTCTCTTCCTAAACAATTTCAATTATGACGGGAAATCAGCAGGTTATAAAAAAGTTGAAAAAAGAAATACTTTAATTTTTTAAACAAATTAATTTAAGAATTTAAATGTTTTGAAATGAATAAATTAATAATAAAGCAATTATATTTTATGCTCCATATTTACGTAACTTGCTTTTACTATATATTAAACCCTGTTTTGAATCTTAGACGCGTTTTTTTTGGCCGGAAATGTAGGAAGCCAACCTAGCCCTTCAGGGTTTAAAATTCCTACGGATGATGGAAAGTAAATATAGTTATGTAATATATATATATATCGCCATCCACTCGATATACAAAAACTAAATCTTAATAAATTGAATGTATGGAAAAATACTAATGAAAAGAAAAGAGAGGAAGGTAGGAAGGAAGAGAAGAAAGATCAGAGACAAGGAAGATTACACTTTTTCAGATCCTGTTAATATATTTAAAAAAAATTATATTCTCATTTGTACTTGATTCTATGAAATGTGTATTTTTGATCTAAAAGCTGTGTAATATAAAAACGTTCTCCTAAAATCTGTTACTTAGAACTTTAAAGAAAAATATTCTAACTTTAATTATTTTAAAATCTTAGTAAGGTAGCAAAATTATATCATCTAGTGAAAGTTTTAATGATAATATGAATGTAACAGCTGATTAATACTAAGTATGACCCCCCCCCCCCCCTTCCCATCTTCGGAGCCACAGAATAATATTTTCTCCCGCCCTATTTGATTTATTTTTCACTAGTCCAAGAACATTTTCTCTTATTAGAACTATAACGTAGGAGATATAGTTGAGTAATAACTATATTTTTAGCCTTTTTAGTCGGTTTTAAGCCGATTCCAAAGACAAATAAACCAAATTCTTAGCTGAAAATAATCACCTCAGCCTCCAGAGTTTTTATTTGAAAGATAGTTGAAAAAAGCGAGATTTCTCTTAGCTCGTGTCAAAATGCTTAGCTAATTTTTCTTGGTACACTCCTTTAGATTAAGTCGAATTAGCATATTTTAGCCATTGCTTATATCCCAAGTATCACAGTAATAACAGTTAGATAAAAAAAACGGACGATTTGGCCTGAAAATTAAAAGCGGCCCAATTAAGATTTTGGACAAAATAATATTATGTAAGCCTGCAGATTTTAGATGGCAGAAAAGTTTAGACCTCCATTTGACAAATCTCTAGGCTTATATAATATTATTTTGTCTAAAATTTTAATTTGCCCCAAATTTGGCTTTTTAACAGCACTAATTCAGGCCAAATTTCATAGTATGTTAAAGTCAACTATAGTTAACACATCACCATCTTGACCATCCTGCAAGCAATGGTCAACAACTTATGAAATTGAATTAAAAAAGAGGCACCATACTGTCTCCTACCAAATTAACAAATTTGCAGTCAATAATATCGAATAAAAATTTATATAATAATATAGTGTAAATCCTTTAGCCAAAAGTAAAGATCAAGAATTTTTGCTGAAATTGCCGAATATGAAAGTTTCCGAATTAAAATGGTTTTCTGTGTGGAGCGATAAATCGAAAGTAAAATTTTAATTTACTTAAATTTTTCTTTTTTAATTTTTTTTAAAATTATTTTTCTAATATTTGATTTTTAATTTTTATTCTTGTTAAATTTTAAGACATAAATTGGATAAATTCGTTTAGAAATGATATCTTATTCTTAGCCATTTCATTGAGATCAAAATGCAAAAAAAGCATCTATTGAATTAAATTTTATTTTATTATAATAATCATTTTCATTACACAATAAATATGTTGTCATTTGTCGAAGGTTGTATTTTTGAAAAGTATTATCAAATCGTCATTTTAAATTTATATAAAAATACAACATATTTTTAGCATTAATTTAATTAATAATCGATCGATCAAAGCGCCAATTAAATTTAGGAGCATAATTATTTTCGCATATATAAATTATGAATCTAATAGAAAAAAAGACCCATGACAAATCTAGGACCTAAATAACGAATTGAATACAAATAACAAATAATTTTTGAATAAGCATAAACCTAGCGAAAGTGATTAGAGTTTATACACTTACTTGTCTCTCCCCCCCCCCCCCCAATTCTCCTTGGTTCCTTAAGTATAAATAGATTATTTTATGACACTATAAAATTAGTTTTTCAAAAATATTCGTGTACTTTCCCTCAAACATTTTTATTAATTTTTTCCGAAACAAAAAATTAAATATTTTATACTTTTAATATCCTCTGTTTTAAAACATATAATGCCATAATAAATATTTCTCCTAATTTTTCCAGAGATCTGCAAGAGGTCAGATTTCTACTTTTTAGCATTTTCACACTCGGCCCAAATTTGTTTTGAGACTGTGTCGAAATATTCGATTCGCAAACTTTCGCAACTTTTATCGAAAAATCTAAAAATTAAAAAAAAAATAAAATGCGATTTTATTAAAATTTTAGAACTTCTGAAAGTTTTCGAAATTTTTTTTAAAAGAAGTTATAATTCTTACCCTAAAAGAGAGTATTTTTGGCGTTTTTTTAAATTTCAGGTCTAGCTTAGTTACATATTTCAACCCGATTAGGCCTGATTTTTTATTTCATGATTTAGAATGATTTTATTTTATATTGTAAATTGTTTGAAAGGGAAAATTGAAGATAGGAGTAATAAAATGAATGTTTAAATGGCTATGATATAATTTTTCAAATGGTTAATTAATATAATTTAAATTTATTCTATAAAAATTTCCCCACCCCCGTAAAAAAATTTTTTTTTTGAAGTCTGGTCAGGGTTTGTAATTCCACCCACCAGGATTTTCAATGGGCCAGGCATTCTATGTACAAGGCCGGGTATCGGTTGGGACATGCAGGTCTCTCTAATTTTCAAAGTTTTTTTTCTAATTTTATATTTAAAAAATTCTTGGGCTACGATATTTATTTTTATCCTCCCTAAGTTCCACAAAATTAATTACTAATTTTCTTCTTGATTTTTTTAAAAAAATATAAATTTAATTATTGCTTTATTTATTTTAAAGAAAAGTTTAGGTGAAGTAATTTTCAAGAAAGATTCTTTTCAAATTCCTAAAAATTATTCGTTCGGTCCCATTCCGGGAGCGCATCATAATGTACACGCGAGCGAAGGCGTGTTGACGACGGATAAAACTATACTACTCAAGAATTTTAATTACGATGGATTAGGACCGGGTAAACAAAAATAAATATATTTCTAGAATATATTAAAATTAATATGATGTGATTCAGGCGCGTACGCATCGGCGGGGGAGCGAGGGGAAATACCCCCCCCCCCCCCACACTTTCCTACCCCAGACAAAAAGTTTAGATGCTAGCTAAAATAATTTTGAAAAATTTACTAATTCCTTTATCTTATCGCGTATATATTCCAATTAACATTTATATCTCATTCACAGCAGAAATAAATACCCTACTAATCTATTCTATGAATTAATATCGATTTCAAATTTTCCTTGACATTAGATTTTTTTCATTTTAAATTTATTCGTTTGAAGCCTTTTCACTACAAAAGTAAAATATTTCAAAAAAAAAATTGATTGAGACTATGAGAATAGCTGAATGTGTTATATTGAAACTTAAGGAAATCAGAACAAATGCAGATGACGAATTTCATAAATTATATGCCATTGATAATTAAAGAGCTCTATGAATTTAATATTTGTCTGCGTCGACTCGTAGCAAGGCAAGCCCGTCATTCCAATATCAATATAAGGTCAATCGAAGAAAACTAAAAATAAATCTCTTTACCCTTTTCTTGGATCCTTTTATGACTCAAATAAATAAAAGATTCTTGATTAATCAGGCTGTACTTACAAATCTGTAAATATTATTACCGCAGAATCCTTCCGAATCTATTTTAAATCTTGATAGAGGAAAAAATACTTGATGATTTATTGTGAGGATGTTAAATTACTCTATGATACATTCTAGCTGAATGAGACTATGGTATAAAAGGTTAGCTCTGTTTGATAATGTTCCAAAATATGTTTTAGATATTTTACATAATTTCAAACATATTTTAGACTATTTTTCTGATTTATAAAAATTACTATATATTTTAACAACTCTATCCATTAGTACTTCTACCAATGAAAGAACATTTTCTTCTTATATAAGAAAAAAAACATACATGAGTTGTTAATGGCTAGATTTGAGCCGATTTAACAGCTATTTCAATATTTAAGCTGGAAAAATATTGCTTGGGCCTTTAATTCGCTAATAGATGTCCAAATCTTTGTGCAATCTATGTGCAAAATCTTCAGGTTTGCGATTTTTCTTAAAGAAATATTGAGTTTGTCGTTTTAAAAATCGGCCCAATAATTATATTTTTTCCCCATTTTTTAATACACCATATTTTTTTCATGAATGCTTTATAAATTTATATGCATGCGATTACTCCTAAGAATATTTATGTGCATTAATCTATATTTCAAACATTATTTTATTATAATATAAATTTATTACTTTAAAAATTTACTTTTTTTCTTACAAATTCCCTCTTCGAGATGCCTCTTTTAATAATTTGTTTATTAGAAATTGTCAATATTTTATAGTCACCCTCTTAATAAATTTATGAAACTTAAGATTAAATAGCTCCTGGAATAATTTATAAAAAAAACAAATATTTAGATTTTAAAATGAGTGAAATAAATAGAAGATATTAGAAATAATGACTATAACATTATTTAGATCAATTTATAATTTTCGTCCACTACGGAATCTAGATCAATAAATAAGGGGAGAAATAGTTAATTTGTAATTATTGAAATAAAAAGCCATTATAGAAAAATGTTAATTTTTTTTCAGATTTTGTCGTATTTTCATACCATTTTTTTGAGGTTGGACCTAACCTAGACCTCCACACATATCGAGACACTTTATTTTTAACCCCTGGACCCGAAACTATTTCGATTTAGATCATGAACTTGATTTTTCACTTATTCTTACATCTAGTACATTAAAGATACAACTGTCCTTAACTTGATTACCCTTTTTCAAATGGTTTACCAATAATTTTTTAGAAGGAATAAAAATTGGCTAGCTATTAAGATACTTTTGGCATTACAGAATAAACTTAAGTACTTTCTATTTAATCGATAGTTTGAATCGAATTCAGATCTAACCAGGACCTCTATTCGGTTTATTTGAAACTTTCTGAACCGAATCCTATATTTTTTAAAAAAAAGAATTTAAATCTGAGCATCTTCTGAACCTCATTTTATTTTTAAATATTTTTTAATAAGGAATTAAAAAGATAGGAAGCTAAGAAAAAAGTAAAAAAATAGATATTTTTTTTATTTAAATTAATTTATTAATTTTTCGCGGTCATGTATATTTTTTAAAATTTAATATTTTTTTTGATAATGTTAAAATGTAAAATGTAGGAAATATATATTTTTTAATGTGAAAAAGGATGCTTAAAATTAAATATTACTTTTTTTATATAAAAATTCTCTTTTGAATGTTTTATGTCAAATTTCAAGGTTTTTTTGTCAATTGTAAAAAAGAAACAAAATTATGCGATACGTAACTTGACTAATTTGAGCGCTAAATTGGTTCTTTATAAAATTAATATGAGATATGTAAAATAGTGATCTGCATCGGGCCCACTTTTTAAAGGGATGGACCGATTTCAAGAAGTTTTTTATTCTTCCTGGGAAGCCCGACCTAAGATAAAAATTACTTGTTTACCCCGACCGGTCGAATTTATTTAAATATAGAAATTAATTTAATTTAAAATAGAGTTATTACATTCTACACTCAACATAATGAAATTTTCGATCATTCTACAAATAAATAAATAATATTGACCTCATATTTTGCACAAATTTTAAAATATAACAATTTCATTTCAAAATTTAAGTTCGACCAAGCCTGAACCAAATTTTTTTTTAAAATAAGAGGGCCCGGATTCGAAGCCCGTTTGGCCGGGCTCAGACTGGGTATACGGGCTGGGCCTACTTTTGCAGATCTCTAATGTAAAATAATTATTTTTTTATATATTTGGCTAGCTTTTTTTCCCACAATTACAATATTATGTTTTCACTAATCTTTTTTTCCAATAAATTTTATTTTCGTCCTTCTATTTAAAAACATATCTTTGCGATGACCTATATGTTTAAATGACCTAACACATTTAAAAATAAATTATGATGAATGTGTATTTTATTTACCAATTTTACCTTGGTAAAAATTGTAAAAAAAAATTAAATTTTTTTAGAATCAAATATCCTTCACGAAATTGGGATATAATTACCTTTGTATAATTTAAAAAATGGAAAGAAATTAAAAAATATATAAAGAATACCTAGAAATTAAAAGAAATGAAAGATTGAGATGAAATTTTTTTTAAAAATAACATCATCACAATGGGATCAACAGAATCCTTAGAAGAGAGGATCGGTTTTTTGCATGATTTTTTTTGTGTGAATCTTATTTCCGTTTCCGGCATAGATAGCAAAATTCCATCAGCATGAAATCAGCAATGGTGATCAAAATTTTAGGCCCGCCGAAGATTTGAAAATTTCTTTATCTTCATGTTCAGTCCAGAATTTTTTTTAGAAATTTTTTGACCTGTCCAAGATTTTTATTTTTTACCATTTTTCGGCCTTACCCTACATTCACAGTTAGCGCGAATTCGTGGTGAAGTATAAAAAATTTGCTGTATTTTTGTATTTTTCTATACGAATTTTGTATACTTCGCCGCGAATTGGTCTAACTATGAATGAGCGATTACTCGGCTTTAAATTTTATTATTCTTAAAATTTAGGTTCTATTTTGCAAATTGTTTCAAGAGGAATTTAAAAATATTAGCAGTATAAATGAATATTAAATTTTAATATTATATGATTTTACAACATTCCGGCTGATTAATTAATAAAAATAATTAAAAAAATTTTTAACCTGCCCGGATTCTAATTTTTTTTTAAAATGTTTAAGCCGGCCCATATTTTTATATGCCATTTATCGGTCTGGCTCTGCATATCTCTGCTAATTATATAACAATTAAATAACGTTTTGATTACTTGTTTATTCACGAAATGTCACAGCCTGGATAACTGAAATGTCATAACACCTTGAGAAATATTCTTAAATATCATGGTTTAAATATTATATAATGTTCATCTTGATTCCATAGCTGTCCTTATAAATAAAAAGTGGCTAAAAAGGTGACGGCAAGTTGATGATTATAATAAAAAGGTGACGGCAAGTTGATGATTATAATTTCAATTTTTTTAAAGTTAAATCAATATATGAGAAGTGGAGACTAGAATGATATGAAACAGACTCTAAGTCTAAAGGCGCATTCTTTATTGTGTTTTTAAACAAATCTAAACTCTTGCTAAAGGGCGGAAAATGTTTTAAGGATGCCATTATTTGATTCAATCGAAATCGAGTGGATTTTTACACCTGAGATCTAAAAAAATCTCAGAAAATAAATCTAAATATTTTTTCTTATTAATAAAATATTGTTTTTCTTCAGCACATTATAAATCCAAATGAATATACAATAGTTTTAGCATAAATTTTAAGAATAATAATAAAATCAAAAAATATATTCCAAACAACCTCTCCTCTCCCCTGACCATTTTCAGAAATGAATATTTTGTTTTTATATTATGCTTTAAAAGTGGTTAGGAATATACAATATATGTTGGAGCATAGATTGGAATCAAGTTATTAATCACTTTTTTTTTCACAACTCGACTTCATCCAAATTTAGAAAAGAAAATCTTTAATTAAGCGCTGGATACTTATTGCTATTTAGCCTAGGCTAAACAGCTTTTTAACTAAGACACCCTATTTTTCGCTTTTCCAATCTTTTTCTATAATTTTTTAAAGTATTTCTTGCATTATTTTGTTATTATATATACTTTGTTTACTATTTTTATATCTAGGGGAGGCTCGGGCTATATGGCAGATGTTTTATACGGTAAAATTTTAATTTTATTTTAAAGGATAAAAAAAAACTAATTGTATCATTAGATAGCCACATTATTAGACTACAAAATAAAAAAAACAGAGGTTTTCTACCTTGTGGGTGTTATTTAGAGTTAAATAAAAGTATTATAAGATGACAAAACCCTTGTGGTAAGATGGCAAATATAAAATTCAACACACAAAATACAAAATTTTTAACACATTATTGACAAATGATAAATATTTTTTAAAAAAATAAATTTTCACACATAAAATGGATCATTTTTAGCATAACATTTGGGTATTTGGCATATTTTATCCAATCTTCGTGTTTTTATTATGGTTGGAACTTTAGCCCCACATTACACAATTCCAACTTATTTTATCATTTTAAGAACATTTTCCGAGGCAATTTAATGCTCTTTTATTTTCGATTTTACCCCCTGACGTTTAGCCGTGGGGGTAGTGAGTTAGCCTAAATGTAAATTTAATTAGATTTAACATCGGGCAATTTGGCATATAATTTTCATAAAATTTAAAAAAATATTATTTCCTTAAGACAAAAAATACTTAAAAGGAAATTGTTGAAAAGGGATTAAAAAAATTGTTATTGATAAATATTTTTTGAATGAGGAGCTCTCGTTACTAAATGAAAATGGTGCATGAATAGAAATACATCTTTTGACCAACTTTGAAATTATTAGCCCTAAAAATGAAAAGCGATACCTCACCTGCCTGATAGTCCATGTTCCCCCTACAATTTTTATTTATAAAATTAAATGAGTGTGTCAAAATTGAATATAAAGAATTGACAATGCTCCATTTTTTAAGTTCATACTAAATATGATAATGAAGATATAATTATGGAAATTTTACTTAATTTAAATATTTAAAAATACTTAATATATTTATTTCCAATTTAATCTTGTATCACGGAAATTAGTTCGAGAGAATATTTCACAATCACAACGTACCAACACTTTTTAAAGAGAGGGATTAAACAAATACATCTGTTAAAAGAAATAGGAATTAGAGATCTGCAATAATTTTATTTAAAATAATTGGGTTCGGGTCGGGCCGGGCCTAATATTTTTTAAAAAAATTCGGGCCGGGTCGGGTCGGACCTTGGAAATTTTTTTAAATATATCTAAATTTATCAATTTTATATTGAATTTTTTATATAAAATAAAAATATTTGATTTTATTTATTGAAACTAAACGACATATAACACATCTCTTATTTTAAATAATTATAAAAATTAATTTCTCTATTTAAATAAATTCGGGCCGGCAAAACTTTTTTAATAAAATTTCGGGCCGGGCCGGGCTTGAATAATTAGGCCCGATGCAGATCACTAATAGGAATACATAAAAAAATATGTAAAATGTAAAATGTAAAAAACACAAGTAACCTAATTAAATCTAAATAGCCTGTTACTTTTTAGTCTGTTTAGTCAAAGCTATATAGTTAGGATGCACCCTGAATTTTTATATCATAATGGATAAATTGGCCCAAAATACGATTTATTCCCTTTCTTTTATCAATCTATTTTATTCTTTTTCTTTCTTATTTTTAATTTTTTTTGCTACTTCTTTCTACACATATATAAAATGTTATTTTTTTTTCAAAAAAGATGCATATTTTTTGGCGGGAAAGGGGGAGTCGATAAATCACGAAAACGCAATAAAAATACCGAATGAACAAGGCAGGTATAATTAAACAGTATAAATAATAATGTTTTTTAGAATTTTAGTTAGGTAGACATTTTTATTTGTTATCTTTGCATATTTTTAGATCTTTGAAATTATGACCCCAAATATAAAATTAGAACCTGAGGAATATTTTGGGGGATTCTTTAATATTTTGCAATAGGAACTTTACATAGTCCAAACAAAAATAATTTTGTTTATTAATGAATTTAAATTATTTTTGATATTTAACCACAAAATATGTCTAGTTTCAATTCAGATCCGTACGAACTTCTATATCTAATCTCTTAAAGATAATTTTTAGCCTTAATTTTTGAATAAAATATTATAGCCTGAAACCGGTACCTAAATACAGTATGCAAACAATCGAGTTGACGCTCCCAGATAATAAGACCTGGTCCGACTTCAATTGGTTTTCATTGTATTGCATAAAATACACCCAAAATTTTGCTTCCGTTTTTTTACCCGACAAGCATGTCCTTCCTCCTTATAATGTTCTAAGGGTAATTTTTAAAAATAAATTTTAAGAGAAGGGAAATAATTAAAGTTTCGCCATTTTCTTCCCTTCAAAGCCTCATTAAAAAATATATAATATTATATAAAAATAAAGGTACATAAAAATTTTTAAAGTTATTTTGTTAATTATTCATTATCGATTTTATAATATTACAACACATAATAAATAATGGTACCTAATGCAAATTAAAATGCTCATAAAATATTTATAATAATCTCTATAATTTTTATTTTATTTTGTTGCAATATGAATGTGTTGTGAAAATAAGCAAATACCTTTTCTAATTTGAACACCTCACGGAGGTAGATTAGCTAAACAATCTCAAATTGGAAGTATTCTAATTAGAAATGTAATCCTTTTTTTAAATAAGAAACACAATAACTTAATATCGTTACTTGTCTTGTCTAAAAAGACTAAAAAAATTATCCCGATTTAATTCCGTTTGACTTGAACCCTCCCAAATATTTCTAATTCGAGCACTTATTAATTTATTCTTCTTTTATTAACGAATTATTAATTATTTTTTAATTAATAAAAAAAATATATTCTTTATTTTAATCAGAAAAAATGGGGCCCACATACAACTGGAGGAGGGATATCTGCAACAACAATTACTTCCAGGTGGATTCATATGGTTCTTTCAATCCTAGTAATCTACCTGCTTTCTGTCGTATCTTCTTAAAAGATTCCTTTAAAATGTCATAATTTCGTTTATGATAATTTTTTTTTCTCTATATTTTGCAAAAATCGTGAATAAATTAATCTAAAATAGAAACAAGAAACATGCTAAATTTTTATTTTATAGTACTTTATATTAAGATATAATTTTTAATTATTTTAGTATATTTGGAGAAAGTAGCAGAAATTAATTAAATTTCATCATTCTCAAAATTGAAAATATCATGTTTTGATTTGTGTCTAAAATAAAAAATTAAACTTCAAAAAAAAATGAAGTGCTATTTACATAATTTAAGCGTTGAAGTTATCTTTATACCGGTATTAGAAGAGTCGTTCTTCTTCAAAATCTCAACAAGCATTTTAAATCATATAAATTGACTTAGTATTTCTAATTATCCAATTTATTTTTTGAATGTAATCGTAATTTATATTATGACTTGTATTTTATAACTTTTTTTCCTTTTTCATTACCCTTGCTTTTTTATATCTTTTCTTTTATTTTCTTTAGTTACAATTTCATATTTTTCTTATATCGTTATTTTATTCGTTTATATTTTCAAGAATTTTATATGCAAAACCTTTTAAGTATCTGGTATTTTTTTAATCCCATCATAATTATAACGCCAGTGCGCATGCTCAATACTGAAAGTTTTATTTTTTATTGCCTTTACACATATATAATATAATTACTATATATACCTGAATAATCGGACTATGTTTTATATCTATATAAGCAAGGAAAACTAGGATTAAAAAAATATTAATCACCTTTTGGATGCGATTCATTTTATCCTTCTATTAGGTCGGATAGACTTGGTTAAAAAAATTAAAAGCGGAAAAAAAGGTAAGCCAAACCCTCTTAAATGCTTTTCAAGGAAATCAGAAATGTTAAACATGACATGCTTGTAAAACGTTTTAAAACCTATAACATTTAAAACCCTGCATTTACACAATATAAATTTTACAGCTAACATATCAATAAAAATTTCAAAAATTTATTGATAAAATATTTTAGGCTGTATTTTGAAATGGGTATATCTTATTTATTCTGTAAAATATTTTTTTTATCATTGTAATAATTTTAAAGATTATTTTTTTTAGTGTATATTTTTTATTTAAGTCTAAAACGATTAGGATAGCATGATAGTTCGATCACTTTATTTTATTTTTTGTTATTGCGTGCAATGCTCGGGGTTATTAAATGTATAAAATACATTGAATCAGGAATTAAACAATAATTAAGTATATAAAAGATTTATAAAAATGAGATTTTTGTCAATATAATCAGTGGCCTATTTGTTTATACGAAATTTAAAAAAAACTATAAAATAATTATTAAAAGAAGAATTTTTTAAATAAGCAAATTCTTTACAAATCAAAATTATCAGCTATTCTTTAAAAATTTAAAAATATAAAATAGCATATATTAAGTTTAATAATGTTATTATAATAATTTGGAAACATCAATTTTCGATAGTAAAATATGATTTTGCAACACTTTTATTTGCTGCTAAAAAATTATAAAAAATTAAAATGGAATTAAAAAGATATGAATTACTGAAATATCAATATGTAACCGAAGGCGGAATATTATAAATCGTGTGTAATAAAATAAGCTTAGAGGATATGAAGGATGTGGCTTGATTTTAAGCGTCTAAATATAAAATTCCCAAAACTACAAAATTTTATGATAAAATATAAATTATTTATTAAATTTAAAATAGTCAATATCATTTTGCAATAAAATATCGTCATGAAATGGCAAATTACTTTTTTTATAAACTAAAAAAAAAAGGAATAAATATTTACAGTTGTAATAAAAGTCTACTAGAATTTAAATCATTCTCGATGATAAAAAACAAGGCTGATTGCAATTTAATTGTTTTTATTCATCTAGCTGCCTTAGCCTTACAAGTTTGTGGATACCTTGACGATTGAGTAAAGGCGTCAATATATCAATTAATTTTATATAGTAACAAATTTTTGCAACTTTTTTGACCAGAGATATACTTTTCTATATTTTTTTTGTTGATTCATAAATGGAGTTTTTTTCCTTTTTCCCTGTTATTTAAAGATTATGATATTCTTAATATTCTGAAGAGTGAAAAAAGCTTTGAGGTGCTATATTTTATTTTAAATGAATATATTGGCGTGTGGTTCAAAAAGTATTAGTACTTATTTCTATTCCTCCTTTTATTGTCTCATTGAATATTTACAATTATAAATTGATTTTAAAAAATACGAAAAGGTTTTAAAACAAATCAGATGATAAATATTTACTATTCATTTCGTAATATATGTTATGTAAAGATAATAGCTCAACTCAAGGAAATGTTCAACTAGAGGAGATTTTTTTAATTGGATTAAATATATTTAAAATAAAATTAAATAAGCATCCGAAGTAAGGAAGTGGACTAAATGTCAGAGAGATATAAGTTAGGGCTGATTAAAGGGTGAGATATGGGTTAGGGTAAATATATATTATAAATAGATTTTAATAAAATTTAATAATTTATAAATTAATCTGTGAAATCGGAAAGGTCATGTGATTATAAAACGAATAGAAGTTGAAAAAAATTAGCTGTTATAACAAAAATTTCCTTGGATTCATAGGCATATACAGAATTTTGCTAATGGAGGGAAGAACTATTAGTTAGTATACCCTCCCCCCTCCCCCCATCATAAATTTTATTGGAGATCTTTAGGTTCATTTATTAAGGGCATTTGGCTATATTAAATTTTTATAAAAATAATTATGGGTTTTCACTTATTTATAAAAAGTTAGAATAATCATTATCTTTTTTTCTAATTCTTAGTTGTAGTGTTAAATTGTATACCTTTTTGTGGGAGAGGGCAGTGGAAGGGGTAGGATTTTTATTGGCTTAAAATATTATTTATGAGAAAAGGTAAATTTACGATGAGGGGATCACCTCCTTCTCCACCCCATTTGTTACGCGCCAGTTTGAGTTGGAACATAATCATTTTGTAAAATATTGAGTAAAATAATATTTGTACATCATTTAATTATCAAAGTTATTACTGAATATTTAAATTTAATTCATAACATTAAAATAGATAATGAAATAAATATTATGAATTTGAGTTGAGAATTCCTCCCCATAGGATGTAAAAATTGAATCTAGATCTCAAAAAATATCACCATTAGACCGGCGAGCTTGAACCTCAAAAAATATCACCATTAGACCGGCGAGCTTGAACCTCAAAAAATAGATTTTGAAAGTTCCTACTGACCCATGCCACCCGATAAGATGAATAAGTAACCGCCCATTGCACACCTCTTATTGTCACTTTACCCGAATGTAAATTGATTTTGAAATATATATTTTTTTCTATGAAAATTGCAAGAATGTAAATGTTTGGGCAGAAAACAAATTAATAAGTTCACGTCAGATAAAATAAACTTACGGTACCTTATCCAAATTATCGGGGTTAAAGCCTACTATTAAGAATAGTGAGTTACAGCAGTCAATATTTACGAATCTTTAGTCTCCGCACAATATGGCAGCAATCATCTGTGGAATAGCATTGTTGGGAAGAAATTCATGTCTACCAAGGACGTCTAAAAGAAATTCAACATTTGAACTGATACCTGTCAATGTTTTGATAGGGGATCTTAGATTGCCCAGGAATGCCACGAGATAGCGAAAAACATCTTGATCTAAAATATTAGTAAGGGTCAGAGTCTGAAAAGTTTTTATGTAATTACTACTTAATTGTAGTGAATATCAACCAGATCGCTATGAATACTCCACAATCAGATTTTTTAAGTGGGAAGCTGCATTTAGATTGAGTATAAAACCAAATGGATTCTAGTCCCATGGTTGCCAAAACGGTATTTTTGATCTAAAACAATTTTGGTAATTAAAATATTTAGAGACCATTTTATTTCTAAATTCAATCTAAAGGCAGCTTACCACTTTGAAAAAATTCTTTTTTTTAAAATGGTTTAAACCAATCCTGGATGACTTTAATTACTCAGGAAATTATTTTAGTTGTATTGATGGTCAAAAAGAAGACAAAATCTTTCAATACATATAATTTTAATTCATATTTTCTAACTTTATGGAGAAGTTAATATATGCCATTTTTAAACCCAGCTCAGTCTGTATATCCGGCCACCCGGTCTGGAGAGGGCTGCAAAATTGTATAATAAAAAATTCGGGTCAGACCTAAAAAATGTGAAAATTACAAAGCAAGACCGACCAGCTCCTGTAAAATGTTTTAAAAAAACCGTAAAAACTAAGGTAGGAAATAATGTTCTCTTGTTTTATCAAAATATAATTAGAATTTATCTCTGACAAGGACAAACAATTAGTAATTTTTTCCTTCATTTACCTCTATAAAAATATGATAAATTTATATTTTTTTAATTTAAAATTTCGGCGGGGTCAGACTAGGGTCTGAAAAAATAGAAATTCGGGATCAAGCTTACTCACGCCTATGCCCTACCTCATTATGAACATTCTTTATACAAATAAAGAAAATTAAGAGCAGTAAACACTTTGTAAGTATAGATTGTGTAGTAATTTAAATATTTCAACCTCGATGTCCAGCATCTCCAATCTAAAAAATCACGAAGGTAAAAATATGATTTCAGATTAAATTCTGATAAAAATATGAAAATTTGCTGAGGATCTAAATGAAGACTCTTATGAACATGATTTAGTAAGTTATTATCCTTTAAATATTTCCCTAATTAAAATTTTAATCTATTAAATAAAATACAACTGTCATTTAGTGAAAATCACGGTCCGGTCTTTGGGCCTGACTGGACCGATACCCTCGGACCGGACCACGGTCCTTAAGAAAAAGAGATCCAGACCGTGTTCCTAAATAAAAAGACCGGTCTTTCTATTTGTCTAAAAAACATATTTTTTTAACCTAATTTAATTTGTTTTATCATTTTATTAAATATAAGATTATATAAACAATAAAATTTATCCAATGGTATTGAAGAAAGTGATTTTGTGCTTGTGGAGGGCATATTAAAATTATGAGATTGTGTTTTGAGATATTTTCATTTTCATCATTAGAAGTATATATTTTATGTTTTATCAGATGTCTGCTTAAGGTACTAATTATTTTATTAAGAATAAGGTTAAGTTATTTTGACAATGAATTACTCAGACAGTTTTTTAAGAAAAAATAGAACTATATAAATAATAACCAAAATATTTAATAGTAATACTGCTTATTTTGATTAATTTATTGCTTAAAAGATTATAAACAATTATTTTGTTACTTGTTGCTGACGATACATTAAATTTGGTACTGCAGTGAACACATACTCATGTTTTTTATTGGGACTATAAGTAAAATGTTTCTTGGATAAACTTATGGTTTTCATATTGTAAAATAAAAATTAACAAAATCTAAAATAACTCATCTAGAAAAATATCATAAAATAAAATATACAAAAAAATTATATTAATTCAATAGTAAAGCAAACTTAAATAATAATAAAAGACCGGTCCTCAAAAAAGATCGGTCCTTATCTGGTCTAAGACCGATAGGACAAGACCGTTGACCTTCACTACATATCCTTTGCACCAGTTGAACATGTTTAGCACAGTGATAGCTTGCTGAGCACTAAGCATAATCAAAATTTTGAAAATCAATTGTTAAAAATACATAAGTAATTAATTTAAAAAGAACTTATTTTATAATGTAATTATTTGTGTATAATTTTATTTCTTTTAAAATAATTAAAAAGGAAGTTTATATATATATTTAGTATACTAGTGACGGTAACGCGTTCCCTTTTTTGTAATGCATCGCTTTTTTTTTGAAATAACGTATACAGCACCGCTATTTTACAATTAAAATTTTAATAAAATATTGGGAACATATTTTTACGAACATTTTGAATAAGATATGGTACCGAAGAAAAAACACGAACAAATGTAGAATGGATATTCCTGAAAAATCTTCGTTCCATGATTATAAATTTTTCATTGTTTTAAAGTAAATATATAGTAAATTTAGAAAGTTAAATTTTGTTTTAAAGTAAATATATAGTAAGTTTAGAAAGTTTAGTTCTATTTCCGCTCTTCAGTTTAAATAGGAATTTTAAGTAAGTATTCAGACATTGATATACACATATATATATAAAAGGGAGTAAATCATTAAAGGAACCATAAAATGAGGGAAACAGGATTGCGCGGAAACCTAACAGGTTTCTTACACTTCTTCACTATTCAATAACAATACATGTGGTATTGGCATACGAATTCACTATCTTTAAATTTTAAAACATTTACCAAGAGCGATTTTTAAATTTGAAAAATCTTAATTGAAACGATTGAAATATTTAATTTTTATCCGTTTTTTTCATATAAATTGAAAAATATCCAAAAGTTTAAAGCGAAAGGTGTCTGAATTTTTATAGGGCAGGTAGTCTATTTATGCTGGAATATATTTTCGGTAAAATTAGATTTTTCAAATTTAAAAATCGTCCTTAGCAAATGATATAAATTTGAGATTCCATATCCCAATCAGAGAATGGGTCTAATGTTATATTTTCTAGCTGGTCTGGGCTTTTAAAGAATTTTTTTAATGGGTTTGGCCTGGGCCTAAAATTTGTTTTTATTTAATCTAGCTTATTTAAAAAGGTTAAACTTAAAAAAAAATATTGCATTTTTTTTCTTCTAATAATAAAAAATTTCAGTATTGCAAACAAAATGATTGCCTAAATAGGCTGAAATATTGTTTATTTTCATTAAATACAATCAATTTAATTTTTGGATATGAAATTCGCCAGATTTTGGAAAATTTTTTGAAACTTATTATGAGCTTGGAATTTTTTTCTAATATTAAATATGGGCCAGGCCTAAAAGTTTTTTTTTAATGCGGGCCTGGATCGAGGTCTCGGATCACAATAGGACACATATATTAGGTGAATAAAATTTATCTTAAGAGGGATGTCGAAATATAAATTTTTTAAACGTACCTTATTTAATTCATAATTCAACTTTAAATAGAATCTATACCAGTAACAGCAAAATTTTGAGGATTCACCTGAAATTTTTTATGATAAAGTTTCATATTTTATCTATATATTAAATATTAGTCATAATTTATATTATAATAGTATAAGTTTTCCAATAAATATTATATTTTAAGTTTTTCATAAATATAATTTATATTATAATATCATAAACGATAAGGTACTTGGCCATGATCAAACGATTCCTGATTGGCTAATTTTAAAATAAAATCTAAGCCCATTTACTCGATAGAATCTGACTGATTTTCCATAGGTTGCAATAGTGCATTATACAATATATAGAATATCAATGTTAGATAAGATAAATAAAATACTATAGGAATGTTTTGTTTCAATATTTTGTTTGATAAAGAAATTTTAAAAAAATATTTCAAAAACCTCGGCGGCGAATTTGGCCGAATTGGGAAGGACAAAAAAAATGTTAGCATTAAAGAATAGAGATTAAACTCTCTTATTTGAAATTAGGATAAATATTTACAACGGATTTACAGAATTTTAAAATATTTTTTTTTATAAAGGAAGCGAATAAAAGAAACATTTTCTATTTTTATAAATAAACTGATCTAATTTAGATGTTTTAATTTCTAATAAATATTTTTGATGACTTCAATATGTATTATGTATTTTGTTGAGATGATTGCGAACTATCATTATCTACCATCTTGCTTTTTTCTTCCGATTTTATCTATTCATTAATTGTTATCATCGTAATCATATTGGAAACCAATAGCATCATCCCTTTTAATAAATATTATCAAAAAAGGAATAAAGAAAATAAATATAAATTAAACAAAATAAAGTTCTTACATATCGCTATCTCCGTCATTATCAGTGTTCCCGATGATGCTAAGGTTGGTAATTCCGACTCGCCTTTGTCCCGCCGTTATGGAAAGTGAGCAAACCATTCTGAATTTAGGGCAGGTCACCTTAAATACCGAATCTAATGTGTGTGGAAGAGGTTATAAATCAAATGAGTAACCCCGGATAAATTAATAGATGAAAAAAGTTAAGAATTTCTAACCTAAAATCTCTGGTTTATTTAAAATTTTACATTTCATAAACATTTTTAAAGACAAAACTCGTTAGTTCTTTCAATTTCCAGATTTTGGTTATCGTTTTACATTTTTGAGGATTCATTTAATAATCCGACCATTCAAGACAGCCTACTCCAACATGGCCTAGCTAAATTTTTGAAAAACTATTAGCTAAGTTTTGAGGCCCGGTGAAAAACGGTAAACGGTTTAACTTTGAGGATTATGCGGAAATGCATAAGCTCACATTTGTTTCAGCTCGCGCGTGAGCCGATGATAGAACCGACACTCGTCAAATTTTAATTTTTTATAATCAATAAATTTTATTTTAAAAATAATTAATATTCATTTATGATTAATGTAAAACTCTTTTATTTATATCATATTTTGTATACTTGGCCGCTAATTCGAGCTAACTGTGAATGCAGTGTTATGAATAGATTTAAGTAATAAGGAGGGCTCATCCTATATTTCAGAGCAATAGCTTTACAAATTTACTATACTACTAACAAACGTTATCATCATAACATGGAATAAAAACAATTTAATGCAAAACGGCGTTTGGGAATTTTTTTTGCAGGATTTTATTTTTAAAAATCGATATATAAATATAATCATGATTTATTAATTATGTGAACTACACCCTAGGGAAAGTAAAATGATATAGTAGAGTAGAATATCAAAATTGTGATACTTTAGATAAAATTAAAGTTAAAACATTACTTTAAAATATAGTAATCCTAAGGACGTGGAAACCTTCAACCAATCATGTCTCAGAGCCAGAGTTTGAAACCGGTTCATAACCCCTTTATAATAATAGTGTAACTAATTAATATGTATAATATTGTTAACCCTGTTGTGTGATTCATTTTAAAGGTTATTTTGTATTTAATCTTCTTTTACTACTGCTTATTATCAAAGTTTAAAACCGGAAACTAGTCAAATCTAATTATCAGAACCTCATTTAAATTCTTAGTAAACATGATTAAATTCTTTTTAAAAAGTTCAGAAACGGAATCAGAATCGTTTATAAACCAGATCATAAACTCTGCTCTAAACAGCTGATAGGGAAATCGGTTCTTCGCGCAAATGGTCTAGAAATATGATATCTCAAAAAAATCTGACAAATATTGATAAATTTTAAGAGGCGTGAATCCCTATTATTTAGATATTTGCCGTATCAAAATCCATAAAAAAAATAATAGAATAAAATTTTGAATATGATGGTATTCCTCCTGCATTATACCCAATCCTAAAGACACCATATGATATATAACAAAAAAAATATATACAAATAGCGACCGTAAGTAAAAGACGCCATTGAATACTAATTGGTCCAATTTTGTGGGTTTTTTTGAATGTGGTTGCATGTGAATCGATAAATAAATATTTATTTTAATAATTTAAATTATTTCGACTTTTACTTATTTTAATATTGCTTATATATTATTTAATTTTGTAATTAAAATGATATTTTAAATTCTTTGATGAGCGGCCCAAATGAGACAAATCGAGTGGGGGGAGGGGTGATCCATATTTAAATAAATTTCATTCACCAAAACTGTAATATACATTCATCTACTTGTTTAATCGCTCTCTTGTAAAATTTAAAAATCAATAGATACAAAACACATAATTAAGTGACAAAAAACGTATATCGACTATTATACAAAATATTTTTCCGGAGCGTATATTTTACAAGCATTTTGTGTTACTTTTATTTTCGATCAGCTGATTTATACTGAATCCGTGAGCGAAATTATTTGATTCGTTTAACTTGACCATAGAGAAATAACCTTGCATGTAGCCAACCCTAGTTTTAAAGGTTGTGCAACTCACCCAGGAATATGTGGTGCCAGCAAACATCAAAGGGTATTCACCTAAAATATATCAGAAAAATTTAATTTCAATTCTTCTTTTGTTTTCATTTAATTTTTTATTCTATTTTTAACTCCATCATGATTTAGGTCTATTCAGCCCTAGAAGGTAAACGAATGATTATAAAAATACTAGCTTTTAATATTTAACTCCATCCTATGCTGCCGTAATTTTTTTTTAAAAATGAAATAATGTATCTATCGTCTGATTTTAAAATAATGTCAAACCTATTTCTAGAGGATAAATTAATTAATTATTTAGTAGTAGGGTTGTCAAATAATTTTGATTTAGACGTTTTTTATAAAAAAGCTAAATCAAGATTTTAGCCAAATGAATTTTACTTAAGCCTCAAAATTTGGTCATAAGAGGATCCAAACCTTTTTGCCACCTCTATGCGAAATCTAGAGGGTAGATGATATTTTTTGGGCAAAAATCTTAATATAACCGTTTATTCAAAAATGCCAAATACCGAGGTTTTCGGCAACACGATTTTAGATATTGAAAGACGACAAATAGCCAAATATATAATAATTTAATACCCACCTACAACGCCAGGCCCATCTACCCTCTCTTCGCGGCCCTCTGAGTCAGTAATAAGCCAATGCCTAGAGCTCAATCTGTACATGTCATTTTTGGGAGCGTTAGAATCCATCGTCATGCTATAAAAAAAATTAGGAATTGAAGAAAGAAAAAAAAACAAAAAAAAATGAGAATGAGAAAAAAGGATAACTTGATATTACGTGATTCTATATGTGTAAAAGAATCGCGGGGGGTTAACGGAACTCAATTCGGGGCAGAAACAAGTCGCCACGCTGACCTTTATATGGTTCGTCGTCGATGTTGTATTAAGTGGGTCAGGAAGGAACCTTATGAAAAAAATGTTATTTTTTAATTCCTTAACCTATATTGTGGCTTATTCATTTCGTTCGTTCATTCTTTTCTTTCCTAATTTTTTATATATTTCTTTCTTATCTTTTTTTACTTATTTATTTAAAAAACCTGTAAATTTCATTCTTGATGATAGGATATTGGGAACGTTTCAATTTATCGGCATGAGCCGTGAGCCAGTCTTGGAAGTTTATCGCTATAAAAAAATATTTATAAAAAATGGCGATCATATTCAATCGCCCCTTTGCAAATTTTACACTAGAGAGCGATTTAAAAAAAGAAAAAGGAAAGCCTTTATAAATTTATATAAATGATTGAATGAACATAAAAGAAAAGAAATTGCAGATAGAACATTAAAATTATTTTTTGCGGGTTTTTTTTGCGAAAATGAAATGAGATGAAAGTGATCAAATTATAAGAAGTCAGTCTAATATTAATGATTACTTATTAATAATCTATGTATAATCTCTCAACCTTATTATTAATAATAACAAATATTAATTTGACTTCTTCAACTAATTCAAGAAATAAAATTAAAAAAAATACCTGTCAGAAAAACATCTTTATCACCGCTTAAGTTAGAGATACGTCTATCGTCGACAGGATAAAATAAGGAGCCCGGTATGTGACCATCTTCCGAAGAGAGGGCCATGTATTGACTAACACCCGTGCTCACGCATACAGTTACGGGAAGGCATCCTTTTAGGCTTGATCTAGCCTAAGAAAAAGAATAAGAGAATAGGATAAATTTATAAAAGTGTGTGATTACCAAGATTTATTTCGCTTTATATTCTTTACATTTATGAACGTGGTAGTGCTGAAATAATTAGGCGTTTTTTAATAACTTCTTAGGGGTATTCAATAATATTATGTATAATAAAACACGTACCGTGTTTTGGCGTAAGGTGATTCGTGTATTTTGTTTATTATATCATCATAATATTAATTCCAGTATGAAAGAAAAAGAAAATTAATGGTTGATTGTCGATAAAAATTAATTATTTTTTTTCGCGACTTGGAATCTTATTTTAAAGATATATTGGAATTTAACTTTGAAATATTAATAAACATAAAAATCTGATATTATGAAGTTTATGAATTAAAAAAAATATATTGAAATATAAGCTTTATTATAAAAATTGATAATAACTTTTTTAAAAAAACTTAAAATATTATAAGATCATACTCGTGAAAATGTACGAAAAATGCAAGGGAAGACATTTCTTCAGTGTTAGATTTGATTCGATCTATCATCGAAATAAATGAAGCATTAAGAAAATTAGAGAAAATTATGGGAAATTTTATTTATGAATGAAATTTTTTAAAAAAAGTATGAGAATAAAATATAAATCTGATTATTTTATGAAAGAATTAAATGTGAAAGACCAAAAGAAAGCAACAAAAATGAAATCTAGAAGAAGTGAGTCGCAAGGCTATGATATACTGCCCCTTTATAGCACGTTTAAGGCCAGAGTTCTCAAGATCGCCCCCTCCCAATGATTCAATTATAAAATTAATACTGACTAGGTATATTGATTAAGAGCGAACCTCCATTAGTTGCCTATATAAAATTTCAATGATGAAAATAAGCTGCCCCTCCCCTTCTCATGTTGAAAGAAAACCAAATTTTACTCATCTTTATAACCAACAGGGATGAACAACGGGACATAAACGCCCTGATGGCAACTGAGTCGGCCCCTTGCACGGAACTATTCATATTATTCGGCCATTTAACAGAGACCGTGGATAATAAAATATTAAAATACACCTTTCAATCAATCAATATTATTCCGTTAATTAGCATGATTATCGGTTATTTTGAAAAAACATTCCTGAAATTCCTAAAAATATTTGGAAGTATGATTTTTGGAAAAAAGTTTTAATAATTTTAATTCATTCCATTAACCACCTAGATCTACGACCCGTCCTGAATAGAACGTACGTGATAATCGCGCCAGTTCTTTAATAGCACGGAAGCCGACTATTTACTAAAATAGAATAATAATAATAAACAATCGTTAATATTGCTATGTGGAAGCAAACTGGAATTAAAAAAACGAAAATTTATTAATGACCAATTACAAATATTATATTTTATAATTATGGAATAAACTAAATTTTTCGGAACGTTCGGAAACTGTTCCTGGAACATATTACCTGAATTACCGTTCCAGTTGCTTTCAGGTTCCATATTTTCCTCAAGTTCCGTTTTATGTGCCACTGTAGAATGAAATTGAACAGGAAGAAAGAAAATAAAATGAAGTGTATTCTCAAAAAATTGAAATCTTACCCATATCGCAGGCTGGATGAGGGTTTCCAGGTCGAGAAGAGCTTCAGAAATATAATGAGTACCTATTTCCATGGATCCCAAAATTCTATTTCGATTTTATTATAATTATCATTTTTTCATATGATATATAATTTTTTTTTTTTCTTTCTTTCTTTCTTTCTTCCTTCCTTCCTTTCTTTAAATAAAGATAAAATATACCCTGGGGCGTTCAATCTTTGTCCGTTTCTTATCCTGTAAGAACATCTAAAATCTAAGGGTAAGTTATAACCAATCGCATTTTCGATTCGCTCCAAATCTTCTTCGAGGAGGCCCGCTAAATTTTTTATTTTTATACAATAATGCCACATTTTTTTAAAAGAGGATTATATTAAAAAGGAATAAAAAATAATGAATGTAAGAGAAAGGGAATAAAAGAATAAAAAATAATTCTGAATATAACGAGATGTTACAGGGTTTACCATAATATTAAAAGAAAAGTGTCAATCAAAAAAGAAAAAGTCACAAATCAAATAAGAAAATTGTCAATCAAAAAACGAAAAATTCAAAAAATATATAATTCCCATTAAAATTGTTATTTATTATAATCCTGCAATGTATTTTTCGGAAATCTTTCTTAATTACTTTTTCTTAGATCTCTCTTTAATTTTATAGCATTTTTAATTATTTTTTTTTGCCATTTTTCTCCCTTTCTTTTTAACCTATATCTTATTACAGTTACACTTGCGAGAAATAAAGTAATCGTTTAGCAATAATGCACTATTTTGAAAATTAAAATTTTTTTTAACTAAAATACTTAATGATGAATGAATTATTATTACCAGACACCATGCCCAGAAGTCCGAATGGGAACTGCCCGAAAAATGATATTTTATAAAAATCCAAAATACAATGCCGGGCCTAAGTCTATACATACATAAATTTCGCGCTATCTATATTGCAAAAATATAGATTTTATAAACCAAATTTCGCAATTTTCGAGGAAAGATTGATCAAAATCCTATAAAAATGTTTTATGGATGACACTGTCTACATGTATGTATCAAAGATAGTATGTTCATTTTTTTCCTACCTTTATTTATTACTTAAGCATCATTCATTTCTTTTCTCCTATCCTAGATTTATAAAACATAGATTCATGGCGTTGAATTTATCATATTCGATTCTTTTAAACAAATAAATTTACTTTTCGTATTTACACAAATAATAGAATTTAGTATTATCATTTGATTGGTATAATTACGAATATTAAATTATTTGATCGTTTAAAAGAATTCTTGATTCATTTTGGAATAGTCAAATATTTTAATTATAAAACTCGGGTCAGGAGTCTCGTAATTGAAACGATATATTAATGAAAATAAATGATTATAAATGACAAGAAAAATAGAGAATTGAAGAAGACAAGAAATTTTTTTTTAAAGATTATAAGTGCCAAAAGGAGAATAATAAGAATAATAAAAAATGAAAAAAGATTATAAAGAGGCAAAAAGTTATAAAAAAACTAAGAAAATTAAATTAAAGAAAAATGTCATATCATGATCATAAATTAATGACAAAATTAAATAATTATAAAATATATATTAAACATTAACTCATTTCTATAGTATATTTTAAAAAAAATTGACGACAAATTATTCGGGCAGCTTTTTATTAATTGAAATGGGCAGAAAAAACATTTGGTAGATATTTTAAATTTTTGGGGTGGCCTAATGGGTAAGATGTAGGATTGGAAACACGAGTATGAACAAAGACGCAGGTTCAATCCTGGTAAGGAACAAAAACTTTCAAAGTTTTTCTTCGATGACTGATGAGTAAAGACATATGGTATGATGAATTTCGGAGCTTAGAGATGACACCCCGGTCACCGACAGGCCTGGATAGCCGGGTGCTAAGGTTACCTGTCCAATAAACAAAATGACAGAAATAAATGGAAATATGAATATGAAAGCTAGGGCGTTCCCTCCATGCGACGCGCAGGGTGTAGACCTCCATCCTGTGAAAAATAAAGTAAAGGTCAAAGCAAAGAAGACAAGACTGGCAAGTTTGAATATTGGAACGCTTAAAGTTAAGACGAGAGAATTGGCATCAATGTTGAACAAGAGAAAAGTTGATATAGCGTGCATACAAGAGGCGAAATGGAAAGGACAGAAAACTTTGATGATTGGAGATGGGTATAAATTGTACTATAATGGACTTGTTAGCAATAAGAACGGTGTCGGCATCATCCTCAGCCAAGACCTAACCTCTTCAGTAGTAGAAGTCAACAGGATCTCTGATAGACTAATGAAGATAAAACTCTGCATTGGTCAATCAATACTACACATCCTATCAGTATATGCTCTTCAAACGGGTTGCAAGGAAGAAGAGAAAGATGACTTTAGAGCTATCCTTGATGAAGCTGTAATGGAAATCCCTAAGGATGACCTAGTCATAATTGGTGGTGACTTAAATGCGCATGTGGGGAAAGCAAGAGATAGCTACAAAAGGCATCAGGGTGGTTTTGGATACGGAGAAAGAAATGATGAAGGAGAGCACGTACTGAAATTTGCGCAAGCCTTCGACCTTGCCTTAACCAACACCTACTATAGGAAAAAAGACAGTCATTTAATAACATATGAAAGTGGTACTAGGAAAACACAGATAGATTACATGCTAATCTGTCGCAGAAGATTAAAAGATGTAATAGACTGCAAAGTCATCCCAGGAGAAGATATCGCCGCGCAACACAAGCTACTAATCATGGATTTACAAATCTCAAATAAATCCACTCAAAATAAGATAAAACTGGAACCATGCATCAAATGGGGCAAATTAAAAACAATTGCAATCAATGCAAACATTGAAACAATAAATTGCTCACAAGTCAGTGAAAAATCTGGACAGACCTTTCATCCAGATTAATAGACACTGCAAAATCGACGCTAGGCTTGACAAGAGGAGGCAACAAATCACACAAAGAACTATGGTGGTGGAATCAAGAGGTACAAACCACTATACAGGAGAAAAAAGCCCTTTATAAAATATGGTACAAATCCAAAAATGCAGATGACAAGTCAAGATACAAAAAATCCAAGAGATTAGCTACAAAGGCGGTGGCTAGGGCCAAATCTATGGCATACGATGACATGTACGAAGATCTACATACCAAAGAAGGGCAAAATAAAATATACAGATTAGCCAAACAGCGAGAAAAGAACTCTAGGGATATAAACGGAGCTCCGAAAGTAATCAAAAATAAAGATGGGAAATTGATAATAAAGGAAAAAGAAATAATGAATAGATGGAAAGAATATCTTCAGGAGCTTCTCAACTTTAATTCCCACATATTGCATCGAAGAACACTCCCCTTGACAAAACCTTGTACAACCTATAACAGAACAAGAAATAATCACATGCCTCAAGCATATGAAACAACAAAGCTAGGGGTCCAGACGATATTCCAATAGAAAGCCTTAAAGCACTAGGAGATGATGGAATACATCTCCTCACAAATCTGTACAATAAAATACTTGGAAATGAAGAGGTTCCCCAAAAATGGAGGCAGAGCTATCTAGTTCCTATCTTCAAAAATAAAGGGGATCCACACAATTGTCAAAATTACAGGGGCATAAAATTAATGTCACACTGTCTAAAACTATACGAAAAAATAATAGAAAAAAGATTAAGAGATATAATCGAAATAGGAGAGACACAGTTTGGCTTTATGCCTGGAAGATCAACAACCGATGCTATCCATGCAATTAGGCAAATGAGTGAAAAATACAGGGAAAAGAAAAAAAAGCTCCACATGGTCTTTCTCGATCTAGAAAAGGCCTTCGATAGAATCCCAAGAAAACTTATCTGGTGGGCGCTACGCCACAAAAAAGTTCCCGAAAAATATATAAGAATAATACAGGATATGTATATGGGACATACAACAATGGTCAGTAGCACAACAGGTACTTCAGCAGGCTTCACAATAGCCGAAGGAGTTCATCAAGGGTCGGCTCTCAGCCCACTTCTCTTCATTACAGTAATAGATGTATTAGCACAGTCTATACCTCAAACAGTCCCGTGGAATATGATATTTGCAGATGATATTGTGATACTTGCCGAATCCAAGGATGAAATGAAAGAAAGGTTAGTGAATTGGATAAATATCCTAGAAACGCACGGATTAAAAGTAAATAGAGAAAAGACGGATTATATGGTGATAGGAGATGAAACGGAGAGTATTGATATAAATGATTGGCAGATATCCGCAATTGAAAGCTGCAAATATTTGGGCTCCACTATACAAACAAACGGCACAATAGAAAAAGAGATAAAGAGTAAGATTAATCAAGGGTGGTTAAAGTGGAGATCTTTATCTGGAGTGCTATTTGACAAAAGAATCCCACACAAATTAAAGGGAAAAATTTACAGTTCCATAGTACAACCAACTATTCTATATAGTTCGGAAACATGGCCAACCAAAGAATCAGACGAGAGAAGTAAAAACTATGGAGATGAGAATGCTGAGGATGATTGCTGGGGTAACAAGAAAGGATAAGGTGCGCAGTACAAGAATACTAAATAGTTTAAAGGTAGTGCCCATTAAGACTAAGTTAATGGTAAACAGACTTAGGTGGTATGGGCACACAATGAGAAGGCCTATGAACTACATAGGAAATAAAGTTGAAAGTTTGGAAGTGATGGGCAAACGTAAAAGAGGAAGGCCAAAACTTCAATGGGGCCATAAAGTTAGAGCCAATATAAAGAAGTATAAAATAGATAAAAGAGATTGTATGAATAACATAAAGTGGAGAGAGATGTTGAAGGAGCTTACCACCAGAAAAGGTGAAAGCTAAAGAGAAAAAAAAAATAAATAATTTTTCAATTTTTTTATATACTGGAACTTTAATTTTGTTGAATATTAACTTTGAAAATAGATTTAATTATGTAATATAACTTTAGGTAAATCTGCAGATGCTGCCTTTAATTTTAATTAATATTTATATTAACATTTATAAAAATTTTTTAAATTTGCTCATCAATGACACAATGTGCAATACAAACTACAATTCCATATTAATTTTGGACAACGCATAGGAATTCAGATTATAAAATCTAATTTCACATGCTTCATAGGTTCATTCCCCAAGGAGCCCGATTAATCTCCTCTTCATCCCTAAATTATTAAGAATCCCCCCCCCCCCCTTCTTTCTCATATAATCATTTGCATTAATTATATTTCCATTATATTTATTATTATACTTTGTATTTTAAAAATTTTATCTTAAACATAGTCATTAAATTTTTGTAGGGACTGGGGTTAGTCGAACCAATTTTTAC